AAAGTGGATTTTCTTTCTTTGGCCTTGCCTCAGTGCCTGTACATCAGTAGCATCAGTAAGTGTACCAGAATCAACCAAAACTCTTACTGCATTTCTAACATTTAAAGCACTACTTTCTAGCTTCGTTAGTCTTAAAAAAACTGATACACAGGGCAACAAAATTTCTTTTTAGTCATTAGTTTGTCTAAGTCAAAATCACTCTCAATCTCTACAACTTGGTCCATAAAATGCTTCCTTCAAACATCTATAGCATCTTTGCATCTTTCTACTAATAGATCACCTCTATTTTTGCTTTCTGTGCTCAAGTCTTTACAACAGCCAAAAACACAATGATGGCCATGTTTACAAGAGTATGGGTGGTGCTCATTTTCAGCCCCACCTGTATGCATGCTGCCAGCCCCACCTTGTGACACAAAACTAGCTGCCATACTGAACCTGACTCTTTGTATTTCCGTGAGACGCAGGCCCCGCCTGACTAACACATGCCCATTTAGGCCCTAATTTTTTTGTTGTAAAAGCTCTTTTGACACATTTCTACTTTAAGCCAATTTCAAGATACTTTATCTGCATGTATACTGATATTCTAGAGGCCATAATTGACTCAGGACAGTTTTTATACTGCCACATCATACCAAACAAAGAATCAATAAAAAAATCGACACATAATTTTTAAGAGTGCTGTTACCTGCAGAAACAAATTCTCCAACTGCCACAACAAAAAAGTAAACTGGTTGGGCACTTTGCTTTGAGTCTACCAACTTTTGCACTTTACAAAAAGAGTAAAATGTTCTTACAAGCAAAAAACCAAGCAGGAAGAGATATTTTGAACCTCAAAAGTTTCTGTTCTGAGAGCAGGATTAGCTTGATTCATATTTCTTGTTAACACACATACAGACAGGACAATTCATACACCTTTAATGGCCAATACGTCTATGCATGGCAGTGGTAAAGATGCTAGGTGGCACTCACTTTAATCCCTTGCAAAACATGGCATAACAAGAGCACTATAAAGTGTGTACCATTGCCACAACGGCATAATCTTTACATTTAACAATTCTGTAGTACTTTAAGTGAAACTTAATGAAAGTTAAGCTTTGAAATGGAAAAGGAGGTACAATGTACATGCTTATTGTACTAATGCTGCAGAAAGTTGTGGCTGCAATAAAGGTGTGGCTAAATCAAGCTATACTCCACCTGCATAGTTTACATACACAGTAATGGTGGAACATGGGTTTAGTGTTGAAAGAGCGTCAGTAGCTCTCTACTTTTAAACAGTTTTAGCACACACTTTGTTAGGCTCTAAACTTGTATTGAGTCACTGATGTGTACTCTATAGCCACAAAAGAGATGTATACAAATGTAAATAAACTGACTTTAAGATTTATCTAGACAAACAAAATTTATTTTTATCTGGCTGGTAACATCAAGAGTAAATACTTACTGGAATTACATCAAGAGTATTATTTACTCGTGGTTACATGTACATGTATAAGAGTCACCAGGGCTTTACAAGCAGTTCCAGCTAAAAATGAAGCTCTGAAAGTGAACCGATTCACTCACACACACAATGACTGCTTTACCCTCACTTCATGCCTACACTTGGCTATGGTAACTAGCAAGCAATGTGAACTTAGTTAAGGCATTTAAAATAAATTACTACCAATCAGTTACCTTCTCTTCAAACTTGCTACCTTTGAACGATCCTCTATATAATCCTCCCATGGTAGTCTACCACAAGACCATTCTAACAAGCAGTAGCCAAGTATTTCTAGATCTCCTCTGCGTGATGGATCTATAATGCATAATTAATCAATATAAAGTAGGGATTTTATTACAATGAGGCTTACTAGCTCCATCATGTGCATCAATGCTTGTAAAAGGAAGAGTGCCATAACAATATCCTGGATCAGGTGTGTATGGCTTGTGACCACCTTGAGAATACTGGTACACAAATGATAATCCATAATCTACCAAGTATACCTGAAAATAAATGTAACAGATCATTAGATGCAACAACAGGAAAAATTGGATTTTTGCCAAAAAAGTTTTAAAAGTCCCTGCCAAAGTTTTTGTATCAATTTTCAAAGTTACTCAATAATTAGGCCCAAGACCCTGTACTAGACGTACATGTATATGATAGAATTTTGTCAAAAATAGCTTGGAGAGAATCTTCAATTTGTATATTTTTGATTGGAATCAAGTCCCACTTACTAAACAACATGAACATAATGCATCAGAAGAGTATAACATAAAAATAGAGAACTCTCAGCCATTATTGATGAAGTACCATACATAGTACAGGGTCATTGACAAATTTTCAAAATAATTTTAGAATAAAAGAACAGCAATGAAAGGAGAAACGAGACACCGATGGTGCATTGGCCTTGCCAAAACAAAAAAAAACAATATTAATTTTGTTTTACATGCATGATTTCAAAACTGTATTTTGTCCTGCATATTACCACTGTATTAAGTAACTTGCTTAGACGCTATAGTTTTGATTGCATTCTTTATAGTCTAATTAAATGTGAGGGTGTTTGGGTGTGGCTGCAAACTGACAGTGCAGCATGGCACTTGTTACAGTACAGAGAAAGTGTCAAATCTTGATTGCTAGAGTCAGAGGCGTATTTAGGGGGGGGCTGAGGGGGCTTGAGCACCCCCCTCAGGGCTGGGCTCAGAAAAAATTACTGAAGTCCTGGACTCTTGCATCACTACCAAGCCTCTTAACAAAGTTATCTAGCCCCCTTATCATGGTTTCAGCAGTTTCCAGTGCTTTAAGGAGCAATCAGAAGTACCAGTAACATAGCAGTATGCTTGAAATGATCTTGGCCCCACCCGTAATTGACGAAAATGCAGGAAAAGGCCGTTTTACCGCCGTAAAAGTGGGTGTGGCCAAAATCGCGGCGCACTTCGCGCGCCCTCAGCACCCCCCTTCTTTAATTTCTAGATACGCCCCTGAGAGTTGTCACAGTCCAGTCAAAGTGTCAAACCTTGATTGCTAGTCTGCTAGAGTAAAATGGTGTCTCTTGGAGAACTGCCGGGAGAAGCTTGAGCTTCTTGGACTTGTACTCAGTGCACACATGCATTTAGTAGGCCCTATTTGTTCCATACAAACTCTTGTCAAGCGCCTGAAGTTTATAGGCCTTAGCTACTCTTCCTAAGGACAAGTGCCTCGTGTAAAGTAAAGAGGTAAGTAATTTTTAGGCATTCCTTTCTTCAAGACAAAAAAGTTACATAAAAAGCTACATATTTTTTAAAGAAAAGGTTTTTGTGTCTCTCTAGAGATACTAGATAGCCCTGTTATTGGAAGCATGACAAAATGATAGGAGAACCTCCCTACATTTGGCAAGATTGTTAGCTTTTGATTCCTTGCACTGCCATCTATACTTGATAAAGCTAAAGAAAGTAACTTTTTCTAGCGCATGGAGAAGTTATCTGAGTGTAGGGGACCCCCTTCTAAAACCACAATACCTCAAAGTGAGAGATTGCTTCTGGACAGAATGAATGACAGACAACACACTTAACTACATAGTCCTCGCCCACGCTAATCGCTGGCGAAGCCAAAAAGGCCAAACCTGATCTCTTTGAGAATATCCAGTAAGTATGTTACTACCTTTAATGTCAGCATGAGCATACCCTGAATTATGCAAAAATTCAAGTGCCTCTAACTATAGAGAGAGAGGAAGGAAAGAGAAAGAAGTAAAAGAGATGGATGGTCAAAAATTAATACAACAATAATTCGCTTACTATTCTTAATGCCAGATAGCAAACAGTCTTTACTCCAAACTTCCTCCCGGCTTCTTCAAAAAGCTTTTCAATATTGTCTCCAAATCTCTCCATTACAAGAAAGCAATACTGCAAAGACGGAGAAGTCTCATTCTTTCCCCAATCAATGAACTGAGGCATTGCAAGATACTTTAAATCATGAGACTTCACCCAATCATTTACTGTTAGTAGTAAAAATAAATAAAAATACACACAATAAAAATCATTCCTCACTCTTGTTTGAAAAGGCTACATCTAAGTAACACTGTATTTCACAGAATAATGGTCCATTGCTTATTGGTTCCTGTTTTAATAGAAAAAACAATTTAATAACAAAAAAAATCAGGAAACTCATGCCGTAGAAATTTATTGTGCTTAAAAATTGTCTGTGACCTAATTTTTACATGATATACCATGTACATGTATGTTCAAATTTTTGAGAGTTCAAAGTTTCGTGTTTTAAATAAAATGTGCTCAAAAATTAATATTTGTGTGACAATAGAGCCGAGATGGTCTCTTGAATTTCTAGAATGAGGTGTGCCACAAAGTTCCTCCTGACAGTGGCACTGACAATGGACACTTCATTGCACATCATTATAATAATTTCCCAAAAGCAAAGTTTGCAATTACTATAGACCAGTTGGTGCTAAGTACGTGTATATTCATAAAATTTTATTCATCATGATACTATAGATAAAGTAAAATTTTTCTGCTGTTATTACAAAGCTATAGTTTACTAAGAGTAGAATGGGAGAAAGCAATATCTTTCCTTCTATATGTCCTAATGGCACTTATTTAAGTCCACGAACCAACTATAGACACTGGATAATGGTCAGTAAGCAGTAGCAAGATTGCTGTCACAAATAAATACAGCAGTTTATGGAAAATAAGCTCTTTTCACGATCACTCCATAGACAAACATTACAACTAGGATTCAAAATGGTGGCAAAAAAATTTGACTGTATTTCTGTTTGCGTGTGGGTGGGGCTACATGTGACATTTTGATGATGAAATTCGAAAACATCCAGTCAAACTAAACTGGAACCGACTATACAAGATGATTTATTGGCGAGAGTAATATTTTGGCAAATTTGCCTGTAGAAAGTTAATTAGGAAATTTTATGACGATTTTGTGCCACATGCCATTGAGGAATTTGAGGTTGCTCAAATTGAAACAATATGGCAGATTTTATATTGGCAATTTCTCACAATTTCTTCATAAAACTGCCAATCGCCAATATTAATTCCTCACCAATAAATCATCTTGTACCGTACTTACAATTCTATGAATCATACTAAGTGCCAACTGGTCTGTAGATCTCGTATTCATTACGTTTACCAAATTACCACTTTAATGGCATAACTGCCTGAGAATTCTTCAGCTGTTGAAAATGCTTCGTAAACTTCTCCATAAGCTCCTTTCCCTATTGACTTTCCTAGCCTCCACTTTTCCATAGTAAAGATCCCAGAGAGGAGTGTACCATCTGGTAATGGTGGCACCACCGACTGCCATAGTGGAACTAGACGACCAGCTGCCTTCTTCTTAGTTCTAGCTTTCCTTTTTTTATCCCGTGGTGGGCCAGGCATCATATGTAAATGGGTAGTAGTAAAAGGCTAGTTAGTCTGGTCACACTGTCACAGATATTATGAGAATTTTCAGATATCAAATGAAGCACGACAACCACGTGGCACCTATGGTTTTTACACATGGAAACACGTGGCCGGACCGGATGTTCTGATTAAGAGGCGTGTTTCACCGGATACGTCATATTACGTTTTCATTCACAATAAAAAAAAAACAATGATAAAAAGTATTATTATTATTTTTATAATTTTATTGCTAATCATATTGAGATTTTATGTACAATAATACAATAAAACTTGACATTTATCATGTATTATAATTGCTGAAAATTTCCTTTTCTTTTATTATATCCAGTTTACTAATGCATGACTTTCCCATCTCTTGTCACCTAAAAATGAATGATTTTGGCAACACAATTGCACCAAAACTAAAAATACACTCCTTTTAAAAATAGGCCCACTACAACTACCTATTCTCAAGCTACAAAACCATATAGAAAAAGTTCCAATTAAGTTAGCTAGAAAGGTGGAGCTTGAAAAAACCAAGATTTAGAAAATAACAGCTATTCTACTTGACACAAGCTCTAAATAATAGTCCCACTACAACTAGTGTACAATTACCTATTATTACAATAAAAATTGTTGGCCTAATTCAACAGAGTTAAGCTAAAAAGTGGCTTGAGTGAAAATGTACACAACAGTAGGTTATGACATCCATTGTAGAACTTAAGATATGCAGTCAAGCTATCTTTTATGACCATTATTTCAATATTATGAAGGCTTTGCAAAGTCCTTTGAGGGATCATTCAGCTACTTTAACAAAAGAATAGGCTACAGTGATTGCTTTACTTACCCTGGCAGCCTGAGGACAGCCAGGCCAGATGTGACGTTTATGACGTTTCCTTATGTGAATTTATATGTGTGTATAGAGGAGTTTCGTATCCATGTGTATACAGTATCTATGGCTTTACTATGGAGGGCCGTTTGTTTCAAAATTAGCAGTAATGATAATACATTAGAGAATCTCAAAGAATACGGATTTGTGGTCTATGATCGATCAATCGATCAATTGATTGTTACTAGTTAGGGATTATGCAGCTATGCTCATTATGATAATTATTGTATTTAAAGTTTGTTAAAATAGATAATTATTTTAATAATTCTAACACTACACTTCTCTACTCTATAGTCCACAAGATCAATTAATTAAATAGATCTAGTTTTTATGAACTGGTCTTTTTCTGTGAGGGGCATTGGCGATTTATGTTTAGACTCAGTAGTTGTAATCTACATAGCAAACATCCATAGCTTTCCAGATATCTCACATTGCTGTCCTGAAAAAGATGTGTTAGACATGGCCAAGGGAGATTTAGGATTCACTTTGCCCACTGGATGGTCCTATTATGATAATAAAACATAATATGACCAAAATGAAGAAAATAATTATTAATATTGGCCATTGTTAAGTTTGGTGGTTTTACAGTAGACCTGCATACACTAAATATTATGTTAGCCCGAAACATCAAATAGCTAACTTCAATTCAACTCACAGTTAAATTTCTAAATATTTAGTACAGTAAATGGAGAATGTACATACCATCCTAAAGTGCCATCTGCTTTGTCACCTAGCTGATCATACATTCCACAAAATTTTGCCATGGTAGACTTGGTAGTATTATTGTTGTAGAGGTCAAAAAGCATTCCTGCCTGATAGCACACTGGAAATATCATCATAACTGCAAGTGCAGTTTTACTTGTCCAATATCCAGAAAGAGAATCAGGGATTGGTACAGTTGCTGAAGCTATCAAAATAGATAATTATAATTAACATATTATATAGAACTGTGTTTAACAATCAGGCCCGTAGCCAGGGGGGGTTCGGGGGGTTCGGACGAACCCCCTGTTGTAGCTGCAAAAAAGTTTTAGATTAGCTCCTGTCATGAAGAACAGCACTGCAAAACAGTGGCGTATCTAGACTTTAGATGATGGTGGGGCAAAGATGGCGCGCGAAGCGCGCCGAAAAATTTTTTGAGGGTAATTAATATTCATAATGGGCGTGTCTTTAATTAAAGTACGTCTACGCCCACAATAATGATGATGAAGTCGACTATATCGGACTAGCTCGGCTTGCTCTTTTCTTCTCTAAAGTTCTCTTTTGAGTGTTTTCTTTATTTATTGTGTTCTCTGGCCTTGATCAAGATTGGAGATATCTTAAATTTTTAACTACAGTAAATTAGAAGGCAATATTAATTTTGATTCAGTAGCAGTTGGTAGGGCAAATGCCCTACCATGCCCTACCCAGAGGCGTATTTAGGGGGGGGGCTGAAGGGGCTTGAGCACCCCCCTCAGGGCTGGGCTCAGAAAAAATTACTGAAGTCCTGGACTCTTGCATCACTACCAAGCCTCTTAACAAAGTTATCTAGCCCCCTTATCATGGTTTCAGCAGTTTCCAGTGCTTTAAGGAGCAATCAGAAGTACCAGTAACATAGCAGTATGCTTGAAATGATCTTGGCCCCACCCGTAATTGACGAAAATGCAGGAAAAGGCCGTTTTACCGCCGTAAAAGTGGGTGTGGCCAAAATCGCGGCGCGCTGAGGGCGCCCTCAGCACCCCCCTTCTCTAATTTCTAGATACGCCCCTGCTACCTTGGATATGCCACTGCTGCAAAAGCAGGATTAGCATTTTGGCAGCAGCGAGAAGCACAGATAACCATTTTAGCTGAGTCAGCACATGGCTGAGATGCGTAACTCAAGACCACGCCTACCGACCACGCCCATTCTTGTTAAAATTTTTGCTGCACGCTTCGCGCGCAGCAATTTCCGAACCCCCTGTTTCAAGTTCCTGGCTACGGCCCTGACAATGGACCTAAAACATGGTATGTACTCATATTTCATAGCTGGGAGTTTTTGAATGTGCATTGCTAATGATAAAATATAACTTACATAAGATGTCATCAAGTGGTGAAGGAGGCATGGTAGAGCCACTGTTCCCTTTGCACATACCTTGCAATTCTTCAAATGAAATCTATGATGACATTGGGTATGTGGCTAAGTACAATGATTACATGACTCACTTTTCCTGTTTTATTTATAAAGGTAACAATATCAATTGCTAGACAAGCATCAAATGACTCCAATTTATCAAGAAACATTTGAAAACCATTATAGTCAATGCATCCAGATTTTTCTTTGTCTGCTTCATCAAAATGTTCTTACAAAATGACATCCATGACCAATAACAGAATGGTGTCCTGGAGATGCATGGGCTATCCTTACAGCAGTGTATTGTTCCACTGGCTTACCAAGCACTACTCTACACAATAACGGCTTCCTATAGGATATCATGAATGTAACATATGACATATGACATAATGCTAAATGATTAACGAATTACCTCAAGCAAGTATAACAGGATCTGTTCTTATGTTCAGGGCAACCATTGGTTGCCCTGAACATAGTTACCATTGCCTCCTCCTATTCCGTATACATATTGATTACTTTTTGAAGAATGCTCAGCAAAATATACTCCTATGGTGAAAAGAACAGTTACCATGAATGCATCTTACATTATCATTGTTGCAGTAACTTACCAGCACCAAACATTCCTCCTATGTAGGCATCCCTCTCATCAAACCCGTTATCAGGGGTTGAGACACCAATCTAAAAGTGGGGGGGGGCTCATTTTCATTAATTCAATTATGTTTAAAATAATCCAAAAAATATGGTTCGTTCATCAGCTATGCTTTGTATATGTACATGTAATAGTAAGCAATGAATTGAGGCAGCTGCTATAGCACTAATAAGCTATAGCTAAATTAATAGCATTTTCTAATAACATAAGTAATTAAAAGTGAGGGCAGTGTCCCCCCTGCTGCCTTGCATCAAAATTTAGAGAGGCTCTGCTCTTCTGCATGCAGGCTGCAGCAAAAGTGGGGTGGCTCTGCCCCCCTTCATCAAAACTGGGAGGCTCCAGCCCCCCTGCCCCCCCCAGATTCTCAACCACTGGTTATGAACAATATAAGGGACAAAAGGTGACTCTAAGGAATGTTAATTTTTAAAAATACTTATACATGTATGTGCAACTACATGCATTACCATGAAAGAGCATCAGCTCATTAGCACAGTTGTTATTAGATTCAGCAACTTCCTTTCTCCTGTACTTGTATCTCTCCCATACTTTTGTATTTACTATCCTCTCTATCTGTTAATAAACACATTAATTATTATTAGTAACTATAATACTATTATAGCTTTTATTATTTCATATGAATGAAACACTCCTCCTGCTTTTTCATCATCTCTATACTTGCAAATAGTATTTTGCATATCTACATGTACATGTACATAAGGAATATATTAATTGAGTGTGGTCAATAAAATTAATTGTTATAGATCTACCCATATGTCAATGGATTCTTTATCATCACTTGAAAGTTCTATTACTATTAATGAGTGCCTTAAGTGAAAAAATATTCTAAAGACATGTACGGTACCAGTTGATAAAAAGGATGATGTTTACCTTCATTATTACCAGCTTGTAAGTTCTCTAGCTGATTTGATATCTCTTAAAAACCTGTGTATAATTCCAAATGCTGCTATATTTCAATGCATCATCTCCATTCACTCAATCAGAATATCAATATAGGGATCTAGATCTATGTCATATGATATGCATGCATAAATGAGAGTCTAAGGTTGATGTCAACTATCTTTTTATATGTGTTCTTAATGTTATGTAAACGTTCAGATTTTATAAAAGCATCTACATTTCATCAAATACATTTTCTGATACATAATGTGCTCTTGTATCATGTCTATCTAGCTGATTCAATCAAATTGGATTTTTTTAAATTAAAAGTTGCTCTAGGGTACCATATTATAAAATTTGAATAAGGACGTATGCCGTTTATTGATGCTATTTAGCTTCACATGTATAACCTATTAACTAGCTAGCTCATATTGCTGTCTAAAAAATATGTCTATTTTTTGTAATAAACAATCACTTAAGGCCACTTATAAGGCCTTTTCACACTAGCAAAGCCTTGAAAGGTGCCAATACCCTTTAGCTAATAATGACATCACATGCATTAGCACTCCTGATACCATAAATAGAAGATTATCATGTGAGCTTAAAATATATTCATAGCTCAGTGCCTATGATATTTCCAGGAATCATTGTTAGACAGTTCCAGCATATATACTATGGTTCCAATGACAGCTACAGCAAATATCTCAGTTTTGTAAAATTATGGGTAACAGCTACAGCACATCCACATCCTCTGGCAGGTCTACTGAAGTTACATATGAGAGACTTGAAAAGATTCCTCGTACTGAAGCTGCTTATCGTGTTACTAATGGCAATATTGCTGCTATTGATTTTGGTACATCATCAATCTCACTGGCTTATACCACTAAAGGAGATGCTAATGTTTCGATGATCTCGTTTGAGAGTTCCAAAAAGCAAGAAAGATCTCTCAACATTATTCTATGCAAGAAAGTAGCAAGTGAAAACAAAATAAGAGTAGAAGCTCTGGGAGACAAAGCAGCCACTCTTTATCAAAAATTGAGAAAAGAAGAATATTCTGAGTATATCTACTTTGAAAGGATCAAGATGTTAATGAGAAGAGATCAGGTAGAGTAACTTGTAGTTATAGATTTATAATTTACATATTATCATGATGTAGAAGAGTATTACACGTGACACACCAGTTGAATCTTTGTCTGGTGAGCAGTACTACCTAGTTGAAGTTATTGCATTCATTCTCAAGTATATGAAGGATCTATTGATAGACCACCTCTCGCGTACAGTCAGACCATTAAAAACTACTGATTTTGATTGGGTCATCACTGTTCCTGCTATATGGGATGCACGTGGAAAGAGAATGATGAGAGAAGCTGCCTATTTGGTAAGTCCTTATTAAGTTATTATCACAATGATAGTCATATGATTAAATAGGCTAGTTTACTCACAGAATCTGATGGCATTGTCAATTTTACTCCAGTATCTTCTTCTCCTCTTCCTCTCTGCAGTGATGTTAATCCTGACAAGCTATCATTAGCACTAGAGCCAGAGTCAGCAGCTCTTTATAGCCAGAAGAATATAGCAAGTGATATCAATAAAGATCGGTCCTTGTCAGTTATAAATCCCCCTAAAAAGTACATGGTTATAGATATAGGAGGAGGCACCGTTGATATTACAGCTCATGCTGAAGATGGTGATGATATAATTGTTCAAAATATACCAACTGGGAACGCATGTGGGGGTACTCAAGTTAACGAAGCATTCTCTCAGTTGCTACAAAAGCTAACAAAAGATGCTGGTTACGATAGGTTTTTAGCTTCAAATGCTAGTTTGAAACCAAAGCGAAGTGCTAATATAAACATGATACTTTATACTGATTTTGAAGGGCAAAAATGTTTATTTGGGCAAGAAGAAATCGAAGGAATTGCTATTGACTTGGGTAAAATTGCTGGATTTTATGATAAAGAGCTAAAAGAAGTACAAGGCATGGAAGGCATTGAATATGAATGCGATAGCTCTACATTATACATAAATAAGGATTTCGTGGAGTCCCATTTGTTTGGTCCAGTAATTAGTGACATTAAAAAGTGCCTAAATGAAGCTATTGCTGATAATGGATATGAGGCAGATGCGTTTTATCTTGTGGGTGGATTTGGAGGTTGTAAGTATGTTTACAAGAAGCTCAAGGAAGTTATAGAAAATGCTTATGCCAGTCAAGGTCGTGACCAATGCCCCTCCGTTTTGACACCAATTGAGCCTCATCTTGCTGTTGCTCAAGGAGCTGTCTTGTGGCGCAAGAATCCAGAAATAATTAAATTGCGAAAATCAGATGCTACTTATGGCATAGCAATTTTCGTACCGTTCGATAAAGCTCAACATGATAAGCATTATAAATATCTACATGAAGAAGAAAGAATATACAGGTGCGACTCAATCTTTTTTCCCTTCCTTAAGAGAAGTGAAACGCCAGATTACAATGAAGTAATGGTTACAAGTCTCATTCCACACAATCAGTCTGACAAGGAAGTATGCGTTAAAATCTTCTCTACTTCAGAACCTGATGTCCAATATGTAGTTGATAAGAATGGACAAAGCACAGTCAGAGAAATAGGTCAGCTATTGCTTCACGTTCCAAATCCACAAAAGCTGCCTAAGTCCCAGCGCAAAATAGATGTCATAATGGATTTCAGTGGCACAGAAATACAGGCTAAAGCAAAATATAGAGTAGATGAGAGTGAAGTTAAAACTGTTTGTGACTTTCTTTCTGCACAACCCTGGCGCTTAGGCCAAAAGTAGATAATCTACTCTTGCCTAGGCTGTTAGCTTTTTTGTTTTTTGAGCTATTATTATTTTAGTGATTATTCTAGGAAAATACTATTCATAGCTATGATATTGTAGTTTTATCTTGTGATTCTTAGAAAAGTTATCATTACATGATTGACTTAACTTGAAGTGTGATATTTCTGAGAAACACAATTCTGCCTGACCTGAGCCAACATTGCTTACACTAAATGCACCATCTAGTATCCTGTATTAGTTGTCACAGCACTTACTATCTACTATCATCCATGCAATGCATTCTAGGATATTCTTGAAGGGTCAATGATGTGAAGGACAATGACTATTGACTACTAGTCTATACCAATTCTACTTCTGTGGCATCTATTTACAAGTTGAACTTAGAGATTTAGAAACGAGACGCCTACAGTGCTTGGACTTGTTGCAGTTGCTCTTGCATTCATGCACTATTAAAAGCAATGAATTATGGTATTTATCTCTATCAGACAAAAACTACAATTTATTGCTTTCAATAGTGCATGTTCTGTACCAACTCAAGTAAAGAGAGCTATAAAAGCAAACACCCATTATGATGCCACAGATACTATTGCCTTGATACATTTTATTCACTATAAGCAATCATGAATAAGGCATCTTTATGTAATAGGTTCATAGGGAGAACCCGGTTCTCAGGGTTACCAAGAGCTGAGAGACCCAAGACCTGAGATCTGAAGCGACATTGGGCAACTAAGAACCTGTGAAAGTTTCATTTTTATCCCACATTCCCATAAAAGGTCATTCCAGTTTTTCTTGGTCCAAACTCAGTTTGCACATAATAAACAGATTATGGTAGGAACTGTGTTGAAACATGATCCACCATGATTATCAATTCGTCTAGTAGATCTAGTAACACAGCTATTTTTTGTTTGTGATGTAATGAATGTAGTGCAATATTGTAGTTCCTTACAAAAATTAAGTACATTGTCACTTTAATGTCTCTCCCTTTCTCTTAAACTAGAGTCTACTACTTAATTTGACAGACTATATCACTAGTTATCTATATAAGACTTATTGAAAGTGAAATATAACAATAACAATAATAATAATAATAATAATAATAATAATAATAATAATGTTAAGTATTGTTGCTCATGTCTAGTGAAGAAGATGATGACATTGAATCTGTTGCTGAAGGTTTCTTTATTCTAAATGTAATAATATACTCAGGATAAGCCTATGAAGAAATAATAATATAACACAATCATTACAGTATACAATGAATTCACCTGTTCCCCTCTATAAATTACATATTCAGGATAGTTAAGACCACCAGCACTGGGTCTACCAATAACAGAATGGTGTCCTGGAGGTGCATGGGCTATCCTTACTGCAGTGTATTGTTCCACTGGCTTACCAAGCACTACTCTACACAATAACAGCTTCCTATAGGATATCATGAATGTAACGTATGACATATGATTAACTAATTACCTCAAGCAAGTATAACAGGATCTGTTCTTATGTTCAGGGCAACCATTGCCTCCTCCTATTCCGTATACATATTGATTACTTTTTGAAGAATGCTCAGCAAAATATATCCCTATAGTGAAAGAAACAGTTACCATGGATACATCTTACATTATCATTGCCATGGTAACTTACCAGCGCCAAACATTCCTCCTATGTAGGCGTGTCTCTCATCAAACCCGTTATGAACAATATAAGGGACAAAAGGTGACCCTAGTTAAAGGAACATTCATTTTAAAATACTTATATGTACAACTACATGTATTACCATGAAAGAGCATAAGCTCATTAGCACAGTTGTTATTAGATTCGGCGACTTCCTTTCTCCTGTACTTGTATCTCTCCCATACTTTTGTATTTACTATCCTCTCTATCTGTTAATAAACACAATAATTATTATTAGTAACTACTACTATTAGTACTTTTAGTATTTCATATGAATCAAACACTCCTCCTGCTTTTCCATCATCTCTATGTTCACAAATAGTACTTTGCATCTACATGTACATGTACATAAGGAATATGTGTAACTGAGTGTGGTCAATAAAATGGTTGTACCCACCAAATCTGCAGTGTCGATGAATTCTTTATCATCACTGGAGAGTTCTATTAATTGAGTGCCTTGAGTAGGCTTTGTTGTGGTGACACCCACAGGGTATTCTTAAGAGATGTGACCAGTTGATAAAAAATTCTAAGAATTGTTCATACCTTCATTATTGCCCTGTACAAGTTCCCTGATTCTCTTTAAAAGCCTGTGTCTAACACCGAATGCTGTTATTCCAATGCTTTGTAGATCATCTCCATTCATCTCAATCAGAATATCAATAGTAATCTATGCAATACACACAAACATATAAATCATTAGGGTAAAATAATTATGTCAGCTCAAATAATTGTATTCAATACTGGTAATACATTACATGTGCTCAGCTTCTTTTCAGTATGCTGATAGCACACTGAATCAAAATTCAAAATTGGATTTTTAAGTAGGCAAAATGATGTACTTTTATAGTACAAAAAGGCTAGGAGCAATTTTTATTAAATTTTCTGAATAATTTTGAGCTGATTCGAATGGAATTGAATTTTTGTTTAATTTGCTCACAATTGGGCCAAAGGCCCTGTACTATTGTAATACAGTGTTTTTTTATCAATAGAGAATTTTCTATTCATTTTATTGCATTTTCTGATACGTAAATCTATGCTTTGTTGAAAGTTTGAAGTGATCTGATCAAAATTAGGTTTTGGCCAAAGGACATGTGAAATTTCAGGTACAGATATAAACTGCCTATTTTATTCACATAATATACATGTACATGCACATACACAATCATACAGAAAGTTTAATTCCTTTTTGAGTAAAATTGTTATGATCTGAAAAACGCCTATTTCATCAAGGTAACTATTATGTAGGAAAGCACTTGTAAAACTGATGTTCTTTATCATAACCATTCACTGATACTTTAAGTAACTAATTTCCTTTCTTTCTCTCATTCATGGTTTTTACAGCATAGTGCTCGTGCAGCTAGTCAGCAGATTATAAAATTGCTCAAAAATTGGGCCAAAGACCCAGTACTATAGTATATACTATATCCCAGTTGAGTTTGGGACAAGAAAAACTGGAATAACTTTCTATAGGAATGTGGGATAAGGATGAAACTTTTACAGGTTCTTAGTCGCCAAAGTCCATCAAAATCTGTGAAATTTTGGGTCTCTCAGCCCTTGGGAACCCTGAGAACCGGGTTCTCCCTATAAACCCAATGGCATACTAAAATGACGTTTTATGACAATTTATCTACGTCATAGTTTACATAAGAACATGTGGTCGAGCACGCAAACTGATAATTCTTGGCCTTTATCAGAGGCGTATTTAGGGGGGGCTGAGGGGGCTTGAGCACCCCCCTCAGGGCTGGGCTCAGAAAAAATTACTGAAGTCCTGGACTCTTGCATCACTACCAAGCCTCTTAACAAAGTTATCTAGCCCCCTTATCATGATTTTAGCAGTTTCCTGTGCTTTAAGGAGAAATCAGAAGTACCAGTAACATAGCAGTATGCTTGAAATGATCTTGGCCCCACCCGTAATTGACGAAAATGCAGGAAAAGGTCGTTTTACCGCCGTAAAAGTGGGTGTGGCCAAAATCGCGGCGCACTCCACGCGCCCTCAGCTCCCCCCTTCTTCATTTCCTAGATACGCCCCTGTTTATGAAGACTAGTTGGCTCCAGCAGCTATTGTACTGCTTATCAGCAACAGCAAGACTGTTTTAAGAGTGAAACAACACAGCCGCCATGCTTCTATGAATATAATTAAAATGTCATTTTATGACGTAGCTACATTTTCAAATTCCATGCAGCTGCTTCCACTTCCGTCCCAAACTGAACTGGGATATAGTATAGAAAATTTCGACAAAAATCACAACAAGAGAATTCTCTATTTATATAATTTTTTTGATACATATACCATACTAACAGGTTATTAGCGCCCTTCGTTGTTAAGCACCTAGTTCTTATTAGGCGCCTAGCTCAATGTAGCTCTTAGCATGGGTTTGTTAAGCGCAGTACAAAACAGTAGGAGTCCAAGCAGTAGGAGTTAAAGTAGTAGGAGTCCAAACACTTTTTATAAGCATTGTGACCCCAAACCAGACTGACAAAAGAGTATTCTTCACCACCCGCCATTGTAAAGCCAGAAAAGTGACTGATTATTAGTGATTAATTAATTATTATCCTAAACCACACCTACTGTATTTATTAAGTACTGAGTCATTATTAAGCGGCCGTTGTTCTGTCATTTTCTACATAAGCGCCTATGCTTAATAACCCGTTAGTACGGTACATGCCCTTATGCTACTACGTATCAACTTTGAACTGATTCCAATCATATTTAGATTTTTTTAATTTTCAAAAGTTGCTAAAAATCAGGTTGAGCACCCTGAACTATAATAGTACAAAAAATTTGGCCAAATTTCATCAAAAATGGCTAAGAGAGAATTCACCAATTTTATAATTTTTCGAATACATTATACACATACATGTACGTACATGTCCTTGTGTTGCATATTAATTTTAACTAATTTTGGAATTTTTCATGAATTTTTTCAAGTAGATCAAAAATCGGCCTGAGCAGTGAGCACCCTGTACTATAACAGTACAGGCCAAAGTCATAAAAAATGGCCAGGAGAAAATTCTCCAATTTTATAATTTTTTCTAATACACATACATGTACATGTCCTTGTGTTATGTATGAACTTTGAACTGATTCCGATCAAGTTTGAATTTTTCATAAATCTTTAAAGTTGCTCAAAAATTGGGCCAAGCACCATGTCTGATGTACTAATGACTAGGATAGAAATCTAAATTATTACAATTTTTCTCATGTACATATGTCTGTCCTTATGTTATGTACATCAAAACTGAACTGTTTCCATAAATTTTTATAGTTGCTTTAAAGTCCAAATGTGTATTGTAGGCTTGTATAGCACTTGCCAGCTAAGCATAATGTTAGCTCACTTAGCATGCTTTGTAGGAATTAAACCCTGCTCCCATTATCTCTCTTTTTCCTCCCCCTTCTCTATTCCTCCCTCCTCTCTCTTACTTGCTCTCTCTCAAATAGCTCAACAAGATGTCCCAGCTCTAATTCAGTTAAAATATCTTTAACAGTGACATTGTGCCATGGTGGAGGAGCATCTAAAAATAACAAAAAAACAAGTACAAATTAAACTATCATTCTATCACACTGTTACCTCCTCCTCCTCTATAACTCATAAAACCTTTATCAGAACCATCCCCTACACCTGCTGGCCCTCCTCTCTGCTGTGTTACCATACCATTTTTATCATCCACTCCATCCCCCAGTACAAGTTCACTGGCTAATAGACTTGCCCCAGCAGCTGTGAGTCCTTTGTTGACTATGTTTGACTTAGCTTCTTTTTCAGCAGGTGGTATGGTCAGTGGGATATCCTTCATCATGGCATCTTGAAGTAATGCAATAACATCATCAGCCTGAGGTAAAGGAGAGAGAGAAGGAAGGAAGGGAGAAGAAGAGTGGAAGAAATCTCAATATTCATTTTCTATTTTTCACTAACAGTTGCAAGGTCCAGTGGTATCTGTCCCTCTTGGTTCTTGAGGTACACATCAGCACCATGAATAATCTAAACAAACAAAGAGAAGTACAATAATTAAAGTTCATGTAGATCCTTACCAGTAAAGAACAGACTTGTGTTCTTCCTTTCTGTGCCGCCTCATGTAATGGGGTGAAATTCCATCTATCAGTAGCATTAATTACACTATTGTATCTAATGAGTAATGAGGCTACATCTACATGCTACAGGGCAGGAGGGACAAATAATAATAATAACAATAATAATAATAACAATAATAATAATAATAGCTACTCACTCCATATGAAGAAGCATTGTGTAGTGGTACCAGTCCTCCTTTGTCCTTAGCATTCACGTCGGCTTTATTTTCTAATAAATACTCAACAACATCAAGATGATTGTAACCAGCTGCAGGTAAAAATTAAAAAATATATTTATGTTCTTAGGTGTGGTATAGCTAACCTGCTAGATGTAAGGGAGTGGAGTTACGACCATATTCATCTCTACAATTGACATTATCTTCAGTTAATAATTTCTTGACCTATAAACAATAACAACATTTAAATAACAAATAATGATAATAACAAACAAAAAGACAACAACAATAAAAAACAAATAATAATAATAATAATAATAATAATAAAACTTACTCTCTCAATTTCTCCTTTCTTTGCAGCATCCAGCAGTGCTGGTTCACCTCTCAATAAATCAGCAAGATCACTTTTAGGATCCTTCACAAGATCTATTGGTGTCAAGTTATCTCTGTTCTTACTGTGGACATTAGCACCATTCTATATAAGGAAACAAAGATTTATAAATAGAACAACAGATTACATTACAGAAATCATAGCTACATGTACACATATATATGTACATGTAGTTTTAATGAAGCTCATACTTTTAGTAAAAGTTTGCAAATGTCGTATTTTTCTTTAGCAGCTGCTTCATGTAATGGAGTGAACTTCCAAAGATCCATTGCATTAACATTAGCTTTATACTACAAAACATACATAATAGTCACATGATGGTCACATGATAGTTAAATGATAGTCACATGATAGTCACATGGTTTTACCTTCACAAGCAACTCAGCTACCTCATAGTGTCCATAAGAGCAGGCATTGTGTAATGGTACAAGACCCCTAAGAATGAAAATTAAAACAATGCCCAGGCCCTTCTTTAATTACCCTTTATCTTTAGCGTGTACATCAGCACCATTCTCTAATAGAAACTCAACCACAGTCACTCTGTTGTAACCAGCAGCAAAATGAAGAGGTGTCGACATTCTTCCCTTTGTATCGCGACAGTTGACGTTCTGAGGAGTGCATATTTTCTGTGTCAGTGGACAAAAGAACAAAGACACATAAAACAAGGCTTTGATGCATCCCTTTTGTATCACATCTATATTCATCTGTCTTCCTTTCTTTTTATCTTTTCTCCCTCTTCCTCTCTCTCTTCTCTTTACCTTCAAAATCTCAAGGTCAGAATTCCTTGCTGCCTCAAGGAGCTGTTGTTCGATTTCAAATTGAGACACAGGTGGCTCATTCTTCAATATCAACTGTATGGTATCTGACGTCTTCAACTGATATATAGTCTGTCCTTGATTATTGACTATAGAGGGATTGGCACCACTGGAAAGGAGATATCGACAGATTTGTGCATGCTCATTTTGGACAGCCCAGTGAAGCGAGGTCATCCCATTTATGTCTTGATGGTTTATCTAAAATATAAAAAGAATATAAATAATACATTATTAAGTGTTCCATTGTTAATTTACGTACATTTGCTCCTCTTTGGACCAGCTGTTCAACAACTTCAAGTATTCCCTTCTTTGCTGCACATATCAATGGAGTCATGTTTCTAAAAGTGAGACGAATAATAAACATGCTCTTTTTTACTCTCTCCCTCCATCCTCTCTCTTTTCTCTACAATTCTCCCTTCCACTCTCTTTTCCCTCTCTCTCACTCTTTATTTCCAATATTTAAGTTTATTCCTCTTTTCAATAAAGCATCAATGACTGACTGTCTGTTACTTGATTTTGACAAAACTGCCTTATGCTAGAGAAGAAGAAAAATAAAGAGGGAGAAAAAAAATTATTCAATATTGCATGTCCTAAATGTACATGTACATGTATACTATACATTTCAAAATATTCCCAGACCCCATCCTATTATCCAGACCCTATACTCACCAGTAGTGTATCCAGTGTCTGGTGATGTTGAAATTTTAATAATTGAGATGAAAGAAGTTTCTTTAGTAGAATAATTCCACCGTCTTCAGCAGCTGCCAACAATTGGTAACCACGATACTCAGCTATAAAAAGCAGCTCATAATAATGTGCCTACTATACATACTCCTTACAGTCTAGCTTCTTCCTGAACTCTTCACTAGGTGCTAGATTAAAGGCAGTCTTCCCGTGACAGTTAGCAATGCTTGGATTTGCTCCATGAGCTAATAATAAACTGCAGACGTCTGATCTTCCCTTTGATGCTGCCTCTTGTAACGGAGTGAACTGCCACAAGTCAGTGACATTTATTGATGCACCATACTGCGAGAGGAAGAGAGGGTGAAAGATAAAAAAATTTAATATAAATTAACCTTTAAGAGTAGTTCAGCCACTTCATAATGTCCATATGAGCAAGCATTGTGTAATGGAACCAATCCACTGCAGAGAGAGAGGGAAGGAGAGAGAAAGAGAGAGAGGCAGAAAGAGAGAGAGATGAACTATAGTACTTTTATGTACTAATAATTCACACACACATATGAATTAGGGTATAAATTAGTGTTAAATAATGTATCAATTGATAAATATTTTAAAAAGTAAAAACATATGTACATGTACTGACCCTTTGTCTTTAGCATGAACATCAGCACCTTGCTTTAATAGGAGCTGGACAATACTTGTTCTGTTATACCCAGCTGCTAAATGGAGAGGAGTAGACTAAAGAGAAATGAAATTAAAGTTACTTGTGTAGTTAATAATGTCAAACTTACTCTCCTTCCATCGCTAGCATGACAATTAACATTCAATGGAGTCAGTATCTGCATTAGCAGCTGTTCATCGCCAACCCTGCAATATAATAATAATTTACATACATAAAGGAGTGGTCATATAAAGTTATGTAATTGTATTAGGTAATGTTAAATATAAATAATCAGGTTACAATAAAGTGTGTACATACACACCCACAAACACAAACATCTGTATCCCATTCTCCCCCAGTGGTTAACATGATACTTGTGAATATCATTCTATCAAGTGATACCAATGCACTAACACATATGCACAAACACATAGACACCAACTATGAATTGTAATACTAGAAGGTATATTATTTCATGCTTCACTCACTCTCTCACACACACACACTCACTGCTTACTTTGCTGCCTCAAGCAATTCATCTTGTCTATAAGTGCCTAAAGAAAAAAAGAGAAAGAGAGAGAAAGGGGAGAGAGAGAGAGGTTGTAGATGTACATGCAATGTAAAATGAAGAATAGAAGGATAAGAGAAAAGATTATAGTACTACTTACCTAGCAATACTTCTCTAGCTTGACCATTAGCTAAATCAATAGGAGCCTTTCTATCAGTGTTCAATAGAGAAGAATCAGCACCATGCTGTAGGAGAACTAAAGAGAGAAAGAGGAACAAGCTGATTTAATTGTGCCCAGGGCATTTACATACATGTATATGTAAATGAACAATAATTATAAGATTGTGCTACATTTACTAGACAAAATTAATTATTGAAGGCAATGTTGACATTAGGCACTTTAATATGCAAAGAAATAATGTAATTGTGTGTCACAAATATAGAGTAACGGCACAAACAAACACAATTATGTTTATTTAATTATTGCCATTCAGACAGTATGACTGTCGTATTGTGCATGTGTGTGACTGCATTCCACACATAATAATCATTCATTTTATGCGATGGGGTCAAATTCTTCCTCCTTTCTCTCCCCCACTCTCTCTCTTTGTTGATCACTTCCTCTATTTGTCCTAATACCCCCTTCTCACTCTCTCTCTATAGCACACCCACCTATACAGACATCAGCTTTTCCTTTGATGGCTGCTTCGTGTAGTGGACTAAATTTCCAGTTATCTTGAGCATTTGGGTTGGCCCCGTTGGACAAAAGCAGCTGGACAACATCGACATGGCCAAAAGAACAAGAATTGTGCAGAGGTATCAACCCACCTAATAGAGACAGAATAATAATTCTGATGATTATTGTACTATAATTCTTTTGACATGCAGTACCTTCATCCCTAAAATCAACATGGGCTCCTTTCTCTATCAAAAATTTGACTATGTCTCTCCTGCCAAAACCTAAAAAGAAGAAAGAAAAGATAAATAAACAAGAGTCAGAGATAGTAAACAAATTAATGTTCGATCACTGAATCTAAAGGTGCTAATTGTCTCTTCTCACCGGCTGCAAAGTGTAATGGAGTGCTCTTTCTACCGTGCAGGTCCCTCTCGTTCGCCGAAGACTGTCTCTGCTGTATTAAGTTCTGTACCGTGTCTATGTCACCATTTTTACACGCTTCAAAGAGTCTGGCCAAATCCCCTGTGTTCTTATCAGCGCTCTCTCCCTCTTCTATCGACTGGGAGGTTTGTCTGGAATCACCAGGTATCTTTGCTTGATGATCCCTAGTATCCATGTCACAGTATGAGACTAGTCTCGAAGAAGACACAGGGACAAATGGATGATCCTCGCTTTTTATTTTTTTTACAAGCTAGCCCCGCCTTAGAGCCCCTCCCAAATGAGCCACTCCTCTACCCACGTGCTTTCTCATGGCTGACCTCCTTAATGTCAAGACTGCTTTGTTACCAGTTACTGCTTTACATTGTCTCAAGATCAATGAAAAAGGATCAGTTATACTAGCAGGTGAAGTACAGTGACCTAGAGCAATATTCAATACTTTATTATGATATGTGTATGGTTTATGGGTGTGGTTCGTATTATTGTTAATTAAAGTGACTGTATGGGTTGTTTTGTTGTTAGGGTGTGGCCCATGGCTAAGAGTATTTAGTATGTCTGCTACTGTGTGGTGTCTACTCCTAGAGGTTGAAATGATTCCATCAAAAAGAATACATGGAATTCGATTAGGTGATGATAAATTATTATTAATGATTTAAATAAAATTAATAATTTAAAATAAGTTATTCATTGCTACACTACAGGAGAAAGGAAAAGTAACAATGTTAATATTATTGTATTTGGACAGAAAGTTTATAAATGGATCAATTTATTATTTGACCAGGAAAATGAAGACATTTTAATCAGGTACATATGTAAGACTAATTATAAAATTATGTTGAAATGTATCTAAAATTTTAGAATTAAATTATGTCCAAAAATCATAATCTTAAAGTCATTTTTAATTCACAAATTTTTTTCAATGCATAATTGCATACAATGGCCATATTCTCTCTTTTTTTCCATCCCTCTCTCTCTCTCTCTCTCTCTCTCTTTCATAGGCAGTACTCTGTTTCTAATACATACAGTGCTCCTGATTGGATATTTGATTTATTGTGCATATCTTTTGTTAGTCTTGATGTATTTGAGGTTGCTCTAGGTCTAGCTCATAATGCCATAGCCATCTTCAATTCAAAACTATCAACACAAACTTTGCTGACGTCTGAAATAAACTGCATACTGTATCCTATTACATGTATAATTACACCATAATCATTCCTATATCATGCTCTATAATTATAGTATTTATGGTGTTTTTCTTAGCATTTCTCACTGCTAGTTATTCATGTCAGGTTAGATCAGTCTCTGGTTGGTTATTGTTTGCTTCTGGTACTGTTTTCAATGATATACTCCTCTCATCTTACCCCATCCATCAAGTCAAGATTAGTGACCTTTCTCCTCATTTGGGTTCTTGTGAAGTAGCAGTGAGGCTCAAAGGTCATGAGGTATGCTGTCTTTGTATTTACTGGAACCCTTACTGGGGAGGATTTTTACACACATTTAGGGGGTCATATTTTGTGTTGATTTTAATGAGGATTTGTCATTGCTTGCCTCGTCATCTGACGACAGGTCAGTAAGAATATGGGAACTGCCTCAAGACTGGAAATTATTAAAGTATTGTCACACCTCCTTCACTCCTTCTCTCTCATTAGTCTCATTTCACTAGAGGCCACACTGTCTCTAATTCTTTGTATGTCCTTTACGGTCACACTGCTAGAGTTTGGAGGGTTTATTGGACTCTGTCATCATCTCTCCTCCTCTCTGTTGGTGAGGATGCAACCTGTAGAGTGTGGGACCATCGTGGCAACTGTAAAAATGTCATCTCCGGCCATAGAGTAAGCTCAGATAGAGATTTTATATCCTTTTTCTCTCTCTCTCTCCCTTTTAGGGTCGTAATATTTGGAGTGTAGCTTTTAACGAAGCAGATAATTTAATTGTAAGTAATTATATTATTGTTGTGATTGTTAGTATCAATTCCCAATATTTGGCCTCGCCCAGCTTTGCGTACGCGAGGACTAGTTATGCATGTACATGTCCTGTACAGTGGTACATGTTTGTAATAAATCCATGTACACTTGTAGCACTAGATGTATAATTTTCCCTCTCTTTTCCCAGTATACAGGAGGGGAGGATTCCAGTATTAGAGTCCATTCCTTGTCTGTCAGTAGTGGGCCTGGACAGAAAGGCTAGTATATAATTCAATTATTAAATTGTTTGATGTTTCTTTGTCTCCAACACTTCAGGTGCACTATATGACGGTCCACGTAATGTTACTGTATTATCGAGTAGACATCAAGTTAGCCAATTTGTATTCACTAATGTGTCAGTATTGTCTGTTTTTTTGTTTGATAGATGTTCCCCTCTCCTCCTCCTCTCCCTCCCTCTCCCCGCTCTCTTCTCCTGTGGGACAATCATCTCTTACTCTGCCTTTTTGAAGATGGGTAAGATTAAAAATCATTTTTAATATTAAATATTTAATTTTGCAAATTCTCACGACAGCTCTCTTTGTCAGTTGGATCTTAGTCTTTCCCCTCCTGATTCTAATTGGAGCCCACCCTGTCATACTGATCCAAAATATTCAAAATATTCTTTGATGACATTAGCCAAAGGATTACCTTTACTGGCTATTGGAAATTTAGAGGGAAGCATAAAAATATTAGCACTACCTGCAGCTGTTGATGGTAATTAAGCACTCTTTAAATTGTTTGTACAATTATTATAATTTTAGTGTACAGTATATATTGGTGGTTTACATGGGCATTACTAATTAATTTTAAAAGTTTTTTCAATAATGACACTATCATTTTATGTGTCACTTAATTTCATATTTTAAAGATCCATCACTGAAATTAATACATACCATGAAAACCAGCCTCACACTAAACTATTTGTATTTGTATATTTAATGATGGCTGTCATTCATACATACATACATACATGTACATATATACATTCATAGTATGTAAGGAATGGACGGCACACAGTGGGAAGGTTTTCTCGTTGTTATGGATGGAGCTACCTACAGACACTACCTCCTCCATCACTGATGGTAATACACTCCCAGTACATTCAACTGAAGTGTTACTTTCTTGTGGGCCAGCTGGAAATATGGTAAATCAAGTCATGTTACGTTGTTTAATTCTCTGTCTCTACATGTAGATCTGTTGGTTGGTTGATTACTCCAGCGATAAAGAGCCAATAGCTGTCTCTCTTCTCTTCACTCTTCTACTCCCTCAGTCTAAGCATAGATGGACCACAGCAGCTCTTATACTCTCTATAGAGAAGGGAAGGGTGAGGGAGGGAGGAGAGAGGGAGAGGAGGCGATTTTGTATAGCCTGTGGTGACAAGAAAGGATCAATTCATCTTTATTATTGCTTTGATGGACAGAAAGAGATACAATCACCTTCACAAGTATCACATGTTGATTTTCTGTTATATTTCTATATCTCTTTTCTCTCTATTCCTCTTTTCCCTTTCCTATATTCAGTCCTTCTATGGTGTCCATGGTCCTAATGGTGTCACACAGATGTTCACATTAAATGGTTCGTTATACAGTGTTGGTAGGGATGGATACTGCAGACAATACTCATTCACTTTGTTAAAAACTGAGAGAGGGGAGGAAGAAGAAGGGGCTGATGGTAATGAGGTGATTGGATTATATGAGTCCAACAGGTTTCATGTACGTAGGTTGATACACTATGCTTTATATGCTGTTGTTTTATATGTATTGTCTCTTAGCCTGTACGTGGTGTTGACTGGATTGAGGGAGTAAGATTCACTGTCAATCATGGAACCTTAACAACCTGTTACCATGGGGTTAGTAATGGGGGGAGAGAGGGAGTATTGTTAATACACTTTATTATTATTATCATTATTATTACTATTTTTGTTATTATTATTATTTTATTATTGACACTTGCATAATGTGTAAAATGATCAGTATTATGCTAATTCTATTGGATCTCATAATTACTACACTATTGTGTAAACAGGAACAATAATAATGACATTTTTTGTAATTGAATTTTAAGAAAATAATAGTAACATCAAGCAATTATTATTTTTTGATTTATTTTCATTACAATAGAATGAGTTTTTACTCCATTCCTCTGTATATGAGAGAAGCATATTTACAGTCACTTGTGGTGGTGGGCACAGGTCATATGCTCTCTCCTCTCTCGATAGTGTGAGTTTAAAAGTAATGAATGTGTGACTGTGTGTAGGCCTAACTACACCATAATATGAATGCTATATCATAATGTAAGAGGTAGATATAATTAATTATCATTATATCTGGTAATTTTGAAGGTATAAAATTGGTGATTTGTGGGTTTTACTTTAGTGAATATGTGATCATGTGCCATTGAGCATGTACATAATGGTTTAAAACTGCTGGTTTTCAATTGGCAAATAGTACCTATCAGAACTCCAAATTTCCTAAAATTACCAGTGGTACAGTACACATAATATTACATTACCGGTATGCATATGTTTACAGGCTCTTCTAGTCCTATACTGTGTTTACACTAGCTTCTTTAACTGAGCCAGCCCTGTTCAAAGTGGGCCAGCACAGCTTCATTTGATAGTGTAAACAGTAACCAAACTGAGCTGAAGTGAGCTGAGCTGAAGTGAGCTGAGCCAAACCAGGCCAGCATGGTTAGTACAGCAGGGCCAGCTCAGCACGGTTTGGCCCACTTCTGTAGTGTAAACGCAGCACTAGTGTACTACAGTGTATATCAGTCTTACGTGTATGTGTATGTGTGTTGTTATTTCAACAGATTATAGAGACTCATAATGTGACATTTGCGTACATCAAGGGATCTAGTGTTGTTATTGTGCAGGAGAACCTGTCAGACCAGCTTATGATTCCTGTTTTACAAGTATGTCGTTACTCGTGTATCAAGTTTTATTTGTTGCCATAGGCACCTTTCATTGGCCGGGAAGCCGTTTCAATTTGTTTACTTAATACTATTGAGGAATCAAGTAATAATAATTAATACTGAGTTTTGATATTGATATTGATCAATTGATTACATTGATACAGACATGGGGTACATTTTATGTAATGGTAATAATAGTAAAGATTACGTGATAATAGTAAATTTACTCTGGATAGCACACTGTGAGAGTAAGAGTAGTAAGATTTTCTGTAGTGGATGTAATGTAGAAAGTTTTAGCTGGTTCTGATGAAAATCTGATTAAAAAAAGAATTTAAAGTGGCTCAAAAATTTGGCCCAAGTTCTGTACTATAGTACAAGTTTTCGTCCAAATTTTATCAAAATAGCTAGGAGAGAATTCTGCATTTTCATAATTTTTTTGATACAGACATCTACAGTGTACCTATGTTACGTAGAAAGTTTGAGCTGATTTCTACCAAAATCAGATTTTTTATGGATTTTTAAAAGTTGCCCGAAATGTACTCAAAGTTTCTGTAAAATTGGCGCTGTGAGTTATTTTAATTTTTTTACAATTTTTGATGCATATAATGTACTTACATTGTGTGGCAAGTTTGAGCTGATTCCGATCAAAGTTCGAAAAAGTCAATGCTGTTTAGCTCATTTATTTAGCATGCTGTATAGGAAACCCTGCATGTACTATACTAGTAGTCTAGTACAGCGTATTTCATTAAAAAATAGCTACAGTTTCTGGTAGATAAGCATTTACTTATGTTATGGGGAAAGTTTGAACTGATTCTGATCAAAATTAGATTTTTTATGAATTTTAAGATATTATTTGTTAAAGAGGGTCAAATTAATTATAAAAATGGGGGGAGATCTAGAAAAATTTAGACATAAATAAAGCCAGAACTTCTCTGGCCCTTTAATAGTACAATAATAAGTATAAAATACCATATAAATATAAAATACCATGTATTAAATTTTGGGATTTTGGCATTTTAGAAAAATTTGCAAAATTGAAATCCGTAAATAGTGTGCTGATTATAGTTGGTGTAGTAATTACATTAAAATCATGAAATTTTGTATTTTGCAAATACAAAAATGCAACCAAATTGCAAAATTTTATACCCACAAAATATATGGCATATACCATATAGCGGGTTTTTTTCGAGGATAATAAATTTCGCGAATGACCCATATCCGGAAGTTTGCGGAATTAATTTTTGCGAATTTCCACTAATCTGCCATCTTCTACCGTATTAAATTGATTTTTCAAGGAATTTAATTTCGCGAATCATGAAAAAATCCGTGAAATTCGCGAAATTTGTTATCCTCGAAAATTTCCCGCTATACGGTACGGTAGTAGTGATGCATGTACATTGTACATAAATGTAATTGACACCATGTCTTAATACTGGCATTGACATTTTAACATTAATATTTACTATTGATAACAGGTACTGCTTTGTTTGCTGTTGGAAGTGAAGATTGTTCGATTGCTCTTGTTAAAGCAAAATGCATTAAAAATGATAAAGGTACATAATTTTGAATTATTTTTATGTCAACTTATTTTCATTATTAGGTGATTCTACATTATCATTAAATCCTATTGCTAGTATTGGTGGGCATACTTCTTGTATACAATCTCTCTCTTCTCTCCTTCTCTCTGACAATAAGCACTGTCTACTCTTTTCTGGTGGTGGCAGGGCCAGTTTAAAGGCTTGGCTTATCTCTACAAACGATTTGAAAGGTACATGTATAACGAAAGAATGAGTTACTAGTAAAATGTTCGTTATTTATTAGAGCCATCAGTATCACTGCAGTGTGAGTATAATTTGCACAATTTGCCATCAAAGCCACAGAGAAGGAGGAGGAAAGGAAAGTCTGCTTCAGTTCCTCCTCCTGAATGCAGAATAACATCATTGGCTTCACTGGCATTAGCTGATGTTAGTGTGAAGTATAGAAAAGGACAGTCTTGTGTAACTGCTGGCTGCTCTGATGGTTTTATAAGGTAACATGTAACTCTGAAATTAATGATCGGCAAAACGTTCTACTTATGCATGTGTCAGAAAAATAATAATAATTAGGGGTGTTTTGGAGCCAATTTTTGAAAAATTAAGCACAGGCTAACTTTCTATTTTGTAAAAGGGCTTGTGTTGGGAATATTTCATAGCAATTTATCAACTGTTGCCCGTATGGCCTATGGCTGAGGTTGACTAATTTTCATGTTACTCATATTTGTATGAACCAGGGTTTCCCACAGGATTTTGGCTTAGTGCTCATATTCTAAAAATACCATAAATATAATTAATTTCAAAAATATTTAGGGGAGAATTTTTCATTTTTATAATTTTTCCTATGCACATACATGTTTGAGCTAATTACAATTGAAATTGGATTTTTTTACAAATTTTAAAAGTCACTTAAAAACCCATGTACATGTACACATATAGTGCATGTACATGATGCATGCTGTTTAGCTCAATTAGCATGCTTTATTGAAAACCCTGGTATGAACTACATTAATGACAGACTATTATGCTCTCTCTCTCTCGTTCCTCCTCCTTTCTTCATCTTTCCCAGAATTTATATTTATGATGAAGTATTGAAATCCTTCACTCTACTGGAGGTCATTGATCATCATCATCATTGTATACTAACAGTATCTAACATTATATTATCTTTTAATGACAGTCCATTCAAGACAGCTCTTTTACTAACAGCAGCAACTGATGGGAGTATAGTCTTGTGGCCCCTCTCATCATTAATCAGTAAATGGCATGATGATCAGGAGAAGGGAAGAGAAGAGGAAGCCACTCCAACACTTGATCCATTGTTATCAATCGATCAAGCTCACCAGTCAGGGATCAATGATATCTCAGTGATACTGATACAAGAATCACTCGATCCCAATCTGTTACTGATTGCATCTGTTGGTGATGATACTGCCCTGGTTATTAGTCTGTGCTCAGTATCATGTGACTCTCACCTCCTTATCAAGGGACAGTGTAAATTGTCTTCTGCTCATTATTCTGCTATAACAGGTGAATGTAATACGGTACCCTCTATCTGGAAATTTTTACTGGGATTATAATTTTACTTGACTAAAATTAGATCATGCATAAAATTACATGACACATTTAATAATACATGACACAGTCTTATAACATTAAAATAAAACCACAGCATCATTTTTAACTCAAAAAAATTCTACTGCGTAAATTTCCTGATTTATACAATATTATTTTGATACACATGCAGTTGTCTGACCCAATTTTTCATTCAAGCAGTTAATTTTTGTCAAGCAACCCGAAGCACTGTATACACACACAGTTGATTATTCTTTTTCCTCTTCAAGGTGTATCATTTTTATCTCCAGGCGTACTACTGACCACATCTATTGATCAAAGACTTTCTCTCTGGTCAGTTACTGTCGATGGTTTTGACCCCTCTCTTGCCAAGGTTACTGATTGCGTTCACAATGTGGCTGATCCCTCGTGTCTGGTGTCATATCATCTCAAGTGAGGATCAAGGTGTTAATTATTGTCATAGTTACAGATTGTGTTACTATAGAGACAGCTGTTATGGTGTTGTTTGTGGGGTTGGGATGGAATTCTTTGAATTGAACCAAGAACTGTGTCGGAAAAACATGTATTAACATAACGTACTTTTTATCAATAATAATTATTTTTACTAAAATACATTATTATTAACAATTATTATCCTAATTAGTTTTTGTGGTTCTTGTCTATCAATACAGACAACAATGGAGAGTTTTTGTAGTTCAAAAATTAAACAATGACATTCTGTTTTAGATTGAAACCTCCTCCAGTGAATCGTGGCATGTTAGCAGGAGCCTGTGGCATTATAGGAGGAGCTAATCCATGAGCTAGTGTCCTCTCCCTTTCCCTAATGAGAAACAAGATTAGAAAACCGCAATCATAATAGCAAAATGATAAATTTAGTGCACTCCTGATAAAACCCATTTCTATTTACTTTTGCATATGCTCCTTCTTCTTTTGAAGGTAGTACTTCTTCTTAACTTCTTGTAGTTCTTGTTCCAGCCTGTCTATGTCCATCTTATGCTCAGCAACTTGTGTTTCATACATATTCAATTCACTGGCCATGCTCTGCAAGGAATAAAGTACATGTATGAAAACTTAGAAACTACTGAGCTTTCATGCTACTAACCTTCATTTGTTTTGTTTTATCCTTTAGTGTTTGTTGATAGATCTGTAATTGTTCAGCTACCTCTGGTCCAGGCTGTCTCTGCAGTATTTGCTTCAATTCCATATATAGCTTCTCTTTCTCTTGAATCATTAACTCCTTCTCTACCACCTCTTCAGTCTTTTGTATCAGTCTCCTTTGGAGTGTGTGTATCTTTTGTATCATTTCAAATGTACTAGGATCCCCTCCCTATTATAGTAAGTCCAGAATAATAACTTTAAATTATCAGATTAAATGAGAATGTAATACTGAATGCTTTCTCTTTCCCATGTACAGTGTATATCTTATATTTACTTCAAGTTTTCTCCATCTGTGTATATTGATTGGATTCTCAAGTTCTTCCTCAAGTGCTTTGCATCTTGTCCTCTCCCTCAATAACTCTCTCTGGCAGTGATACAACTCACGTCTATAAGTAGTCATGAATATTATAATTAATGTGCTGTGTATGCTTGAGAAACATTTACTTTAGTTCTTCAATGTTAGCTACACTCTTTGTTAGTAGTCCCCGTTCCCTCCTCAGTTTCTTTACTTCTAGTTTTAATATCCTAATGTCCTCTACTCTGCTGTTATACTGTATCTCTCCTGTACATTATTAATGAGATTTAAACTAACAATAGATACATATACTTCTACCTTTATTGAGTGTTGATTGCTGTATTTTTATTTTCTCATAAAGAAGTGAGAGCTCATCATTACGTCTTATCAATTGAGTTCCTAGTATGTCTCTCTCATTGATTACTTTCTCTAATTCTTTCTTTTGTCTTGCACATTCTGAACTTGCCTCTGACAAAATCTTACGTAATTTCCTAATGAAACAATGCATACTAAAATTGCACGTCCATTTTTCTCACCTTTCCTCTGCCCTCTGACTCTCCAGTAGTTGTCTAGTTGCTTCAAGTTCTTGTTTTCTTCCTGATACTTCAGCACTGAGGCTGTCCTTCTCTCTTTCAATGTGCATAAGGTCAGCATTCACTTTAACTAATGCACTATCCTATGTGTTATGTGGGCATGTACATAATAAACTGTTTATAAACTTCTATTTCTTACTTTTACTGCTATTTCTTCTTTTAGTTGATCAATTTGGTGTGAAAGAATCTTTATTTTACGCTTCATATCTGTGATCTCATCTCTTGACTCTATCAGTTGTTTGCTATACAGATTCCTGTCACTGCAAGCGGCTTCATACAATGTCTACAAAGTAAGTTTTCAAATTATTGTGCATATCATAATCATCATAACACGTACATGTAGCTGTAAATATTAAGTTAAAAATCGATACCTGCTGTTGCTTCAGTTTGCTCTCAGTCTCTGCAATCTTTTTCTTCTGCTGGAGCATCTCTAGTTCTTTCCTCTTTACTTCTTCCATCTAGAGAAGTCAAAGGATTACAATGTATACATTTATAATGCATGATAAATAATGTTGTACTGACCTGAAGGAGACACTTTTGTGTTGCATCTGTTGATTCTTTTCCATACCTGTCCCTATCTCTCTCCAACTGTAGGAGAAGGTTTCTTTGTTTCTTAGCTTCTTCTTTAAAATTCTACATAATCTTGTATAATAGTATTATAACATTAAGAAGTCATAGTACCGTAATTTCCTGTTGCAGAGTTTTAATTGATTGGTCTCTAATTTTCATCAAATGTTCCAATCTCTCGGTAGAGCCTTCTGACTTACGTAATGCCTAATATATACAGTGCAACAATAATTATACAATAATTATATATTCCCATTACTTTGCTTAGAATGTCTCTCTCCCTCACTAAATCATCAAATGACTTTTTGTCTAATTCTGCTTGCTTCCTTGCCTGCTCCAACTCTAAAAAAATAATAATGATAATAATTAAAAAGTTTATTCATGTACCTCTTTCAACTGATGTTAGCTGTTGTTTCAATGCATCTCTCTTTGACTCCACATCAGATTTTTGTTCTTCAACTATTCTCAGTTTTCTTTGGAGTCCTTCTCTAAGTTTATTGATCCTATTTATCTCTTGCTTTAAACTACCAATATCATCCTCCTACATGTGCCATTACAATGTACACGTATTAACGGTTACATGTGTATAATGATGTAGAATTATTTTTTACTTTTAGTTTCAGATCTGCCAAGTGTTCTGCATTTTGTCCTGCTAGTTCTTCACTTCTGTTCACCTGTTGGTCGTATTCATTCTTTTTCTTCTCATACATTGTGTTTAAGGTGTCATTTTGCTTGACTGAGTTTTCATAAAGTTTCTATTAAAAATATTAGATAAATGCAATCCATGGTATGATTCTCCTTACCCTTGTTTCTCTCAGTAACTGCTCAACTTTTACGCATTCCTCCTCAACTTTCTGGACTTGCAATTGCTTATTCTTCACCTCTTGAGTCTTGTTCTCAACTTCAGTCTTAATAACAAAACAGAAAAATAATGATACAGTAGGAATGTACATGGTATACATCCACATTATATACCTGCACAACTCTTAAGTCTTTTTCTAATTTAGTTTTTCTCCTGTTTTCTCTATCCAGCTCTTGGTTCTTTACCGTTATTTCTTCTTGTAGCTATGTATGTGTACGTATGGTGCATGTATGCAAAAGTAATTAGTATAATGATACTATTTGATTTACTTCTAAAACTCTTAGCTCAGCTGATTCTCTGTCCCTCTCTGCCTCCTTTTGTTTGTCCATTGCTGAACTGAGGCTTTTACGAAGCTACAGGATAAATGAAAAAGCTGTATTGTTTATGTTGTGTATCTGACTTACAACACTTATCTCTTCCAGTTGCTCATCTCTCTCTCTTGTTAGTTCCTCTTTTTGCTTCACTAGATCTTGTGTACTGTATATATAGTCAAACATAAAGTGTTGATAATAATAATATGCTGTGTCAGTCTATACCTTTCATCAGGTCCAAAGGTTATTCCAGCTCCCTGCTCTACTAGTTTTGTCAAATTTGCAATCTCAAGTTTAAGTTGGTGTATTGTATCTCGAGCCCTTGACTCTTTCTCGTGTGCTGTGTCTACCATACGCCAAAGCTTTTCTATCTCTTGCTTGAGATTTACAATAGTTGCCTTGTCCTCTTGTGACAGTTTTAGTGCTGTTGTCACCTTTGCTCCATTTGCAATTATTTCTGCATTTAGCTCTCTGCATTTCTGCATTAAGCGTTTCTCGCTCTCGTGTGATTTCTGGAGTGCCTTGTGCAGTTTCTCATATTCATTTTTAAATTTCTTTAGACTTTCATCTCCCGTTAACTCTTTCAGAATCTACAGTAGTAGTCACATAATTATAGTCATATTAATGCATAGAAATAGATACAAAATTAACAATTACTATTTTAGTTCATATGATTTTGTACCTCTTGAAAATCTTTCTCCAAATTTTCAAAATTGCTGTGATCATCTTGTGCTCCCTTACTGGTGGTGGTGGTGCGCTCTTTCTCTGGAGATGGTTCAGGGGATTTTGCAGGAGTTTCTTTACCTTTTTCTCCCTAAATATAGAGCAAGTATCGTGTTTAGGATTGAACAATATTCATAAGTGAAGGCAACTCACCTCCATGATGATAGTGTTACTGGATCCCGTAACTATGACAACCGTACCAGCATCACGTGATTTTTTAAAGTGGTAGGAGGGCGGGGCCGCCCGGAGGCGGTGCTTGGAAATTGAAAATTTAGTATTTTGTCAGTTTGTCAAATTACAAATTGTCACTTCTTTTAGTTCTTTAACCATGTGTTAACTGAATCATGGAGAGCTCCAGCCTTCAACCAAGGTTTTTCACAGGATTTTGGCATACTGTAGTACTCATGCATCTTCTTTTCAGTAGGCTAGATTTTCAAGTTGTTCAAAAATTGGGCCAAAGCCCCTAGTACAGAGTATTTTTGTTTTTTTTTCTGGTGCATATACATGTATCCATGTTGTGTAAAGAGTTTGAACTGATTCCGATCAAGTTTGGATTTTTTAATGAATTTTTAAAGTCGCTTAAAAATTGGGCCAAACACCATGTACTAAATTTAGTACAGGGACTTTGGCCAAAGTTCATCAAAAATGGCTAAGAGAGAATTCTTCACTAATATATTTAACTTATGTTGTGAGATGATTTTGATTGAAATTGGATTTTTTAATGAAATTTTAAAGTTGCTCAAAAATTTGCTCTGCATTTTTGTCAAAAATTATTGCCAACAGGGAATTCTCCATTTTTATCTGGCGTGTTGCATAAAAGTGATTTTGTTCAAATTTGAATTTTATGAATTTATAAAGTTGCTTTAAATGCTATTGTAGTGCTTGTCAGCTCATGAAACATGCTGGTTTGTCACTTGGCATGCTTTGTGGGAAACCTTGGCTCAAACAACGGGTATCTCGGTAGTTTTAAAATAAATTGTGTTTAAAGATCTTTAATACTGTATTTATACAAATTTGAAAAAAAGCAAAATTAAAAAATTAAAAAGTAAAAATTAAAAATATAAGTAATCATAATTAATTAATATGAAAATGCTATCTTACAAAGTTATTAATATCAAGTAATATTGTGTATTATCACGTAAAAATATTCAAGCAAGAACATTTGGTTTAAGGTTGAAACCCCCTCCAGTGAAACGTGGCATATTGGTGGTTGCTTTTGGAATTACTGGGGGAGCTAAACCTTTAGTGAGCATCCTCTCTCTTTCCCTGAACATTATTGATATTAAACATCAACATTACTAAGTATTCACTTTTGTATATGTTCTTTCTTCTTTTGAAGGTAGTACTTCTTTTTAACTTCTTGTAGTTCTCGCTCAAGCCTGTCTATGTCCATCTTATGCTCAGCAACTTGTGTTTCATACATGTTCAATTCACTGGCCATGCTCTGCAAGGATAAAGCATGTTTAGAAACTACTGAGCTTTCATGCTACCAACCTTCATTTGTTTTGTTTTCTCTTTTAGTGTTTGTTGATAGATCTGTAGTTGTTCAGCTACCTCTGGTCCAGGCTGTCTCTGCAGTATTTGTTTTAAGTCCATATATAGCTTTTCTTTCTCTTGAATCAGTAACTCCTTCTCTACTACCTCTTCAGTCTTTTGTATCAGTTTCTTCTGGAGTGTATGTATTTTTTGTATCATCTCGTACGTACCAAGATCACTTGCCTGTAGATTAGTTTAAAATGAGTGTTAGCATTTAAGTACATGTACAATGCATGCACATGTGTGTATGTAAATGATAGATGCATATTTACTTCAAGTTTTCTCCATCTGTGTATATTGATTGGATTCTCAAGCTCTTCCTCAATAGCTTTGCATCTAGTCCTCTCCCTCAATAATTCTCTCTGGCACTGACATAGCTCCCGCCTATACAGCCAGTATGAGTATTGAATAAGTGGGAGGCTTTAGTTTACTTTAAGTCTTCAATGTTAGCTACACTTTTAGTCAATAGACCCTTTTCCCTCCTCAGCTTCTTAATTTCTAATTTTAATATCCTAATGTCCTCTACTCTGCTCTTGTATTGTATTTCTCCTACATACATGTACAAACAACAGTGAAAGTGATAAGTTAATAAGTTGCATTGCTTCTACCTTTATCAAGTGTTGATTGCTGTATTTTTATTTTCTCATAGAGAAGTGAGAGTTCATCATTGCGTCGTATCACTTGAGTTCCTAGTATGTCTCTCTCATTAATAACTTGCTCTAATTCTTTCTTTTGTCTTGCTGATTCTGTGCTTGCTTCCGTTAGAACTTTACGTAATTTCCTAATTAAGAAAGTTTTATTTAATTCTTTCTCTAGCTCCTTCTCTCACTTTTCTTCATTTTTTTGATTCTCCAGTAGTTGCCTAGCTGCCTCAAGCTCTTGTTTCCTGCCTGATATCTCAGCACTGAGATTGTCCTTTTCTCTCTCAAGATGCATAAGGTCAGCGTTCACTTTAACCATTGCCCCATCCTTTTAAAAGATCAGAATATAAACATTATTCCTCTTACTATACATGTAGATACCTTGGCTGCTATTTCTTCTTTTAGTTGATCAATTTGGTGTGAGAGTATTTTTATTCTACGTTTCATGTCTGTGATCTCATCTCTGGCTTCAATCAGTTGTTTGCTATACAGACTCCTGTCACTGCTAGCTGCTTCATACAATGTCTATACAAGTATACACACATATACATTAATCATGCAGGGTACAGTAGTACGCTATGTGATTACCTTTTGCTGCTGCAGTTTGTTTTGAGCTTCTGCAATTAGCTTCTTCTGCTGGAGCATTTCTAGTTCTTTCCTCTTTACCTCTTCCATCTAGAGACATCAAAGGATACACATGATTTTAATAGTCTTTTGCTGAGCAATTAGGTTATTGTTTGAGCCAAGGGATGCTAGTCTATAGCGCTAGCCCATGATATTTTCAGAACTGGTATACTTATTTAAATGGCTGTAAGTTGTAACTCAAAAACTGTTAGCTAGAATCACCCCAAACTTTCTACATGGCATAATAACATCAATACATGTACATGTACATGTACATGTACATGTACATGTACATGTATATGTACATGTACATGCATGCATAGCGTACATGTACATGTATGTATAAACTTTATTTAGAAATTTCAGCATTGTACCGACATGCATCCATGTAAGTGGATCAAAAATTTAGAAAAAGTGTAACCTATATGTATGCTTATATTTTGACGGTTTTAAAATTTTAATTGAAAACAGCTCACACATAACTACATGTATGTATGTTTTACCTGCTGGAGGCACTTTTGCGTAGCATCTGTTGATTCTTTGCCATATTTGTCTCTTTCCTTCTCTAGCTGCAGTAACAGGCTCCTTTGCTTCTTAGCTTCTTCTTTAAAGTTCTACATTTAATCACAAACCTTATAGCACAAATGAGCATTAATTTTACTGTGATTTCATGTTGCAGCGTTTTTATTGTTTGTTCTTTCATTTTCATTAAATGCTCTAGTCTCTCAGCTGATCCTTCTGACTTGCGCAGTGACTAAAAAAGCAAATATGTACATAATAATGGATGCATTGAGTATTATCATTACTTTGCTGATTATATCTCTTTCTCTTAATAATTCATCAAAAGACCGTCTCTCTGATTCTGCTTGCCTTCGTTCTTGCTCCAGTTCTATTAAAAAGTGGGCGATATATGTACATGTACATCTAGTTTATAATTGTTTTATGGTACCTTTTTCAATTGATGCTATTTGCTGCATCAATGAATCTCTATTTGCCTCCACATTAGCTTTTCGTTCTTCAATTTCTCTGAGTTTTTTCTGCAGTCCTTCTCGTATCTTATTAATCTTCATTATCTCTTGCTTAAACTCATTAATGCTCTCTTCCTACACATTATTAGATTATTTCTCATGATTTTATGATTTGTATTACTTTCATTTTTAGTTCCATTATTTGTTCTGAATTCTGTCTAGCCAGTTCTTCATTCCTGTTCACCTCTTGGTCGTATTCTTTTTTTTTCTTGTCAAGCATAACCTCGAGTGCTTCGTTTTGCTTCACAGAATTCTCGTACTTTTTCTATAAAGACGAAAGTAAATAAACAAATTTTTTTTCCTATTTTAGTCTTACCTGTGTGTCTTTCAATACTTGCTCGGCCTTTGCATAATCTTCATGTGCTTTGTTCAGCTGTGCTTGCTTAGCTTTAATCTCTTCTACTTTATTATCAACTTCTGCCTATTAATACAAATACATTTATACAATATTTATACTATTCATGTGAACTCTCACTATACCTGTACACCTCTCAAATCTTTCTCTAGCTTTGCCTTTCGACGACTATCTCTATCTATTTCTTGGTTCTTTGCTGTTATTTCTTCTTGCAACTACAGAAATTAAGTTAAGGGGTTATTGTCAATAGTTTTGTTGTTTTTATATCATGTGTATACCTGTAAGACTTTTAGCTCAACTGACTCTCTTTCGTTTTCTGCTTCCTTTCGTTTTTCCATTAATTCACTGAGTTCTGTGCGCAGCTATAATAAAGAGAATTATATAGTAATGTGAGTTCTATAGCTTACAGCACTAATCTCCTCCATTTGCTCATCTCTCTCTACTGTAAGCTCCTCCTTTTCTTTTTCTAGAGCCTTCATACTGTATACAAGGAGATACAAAGTTTATGCAATGTATGTACATGTATACTACAAACCTTTCCTGCATTGCTGGGCCAAATCCAGCTCCATTTTCTATGAGCTTATTCAAGCTGATGTTCTCAAGTTTGAGTTGGTGTATAGTCTCGTGAGTTTTGGTTTCTTTGTCTTGTGCATCGTCCACTGCACGCCACAGCTTCTCTATCTCTTGCTTTTGTGAGGATATTGTTGCTTTATCGTCTTGGGTGATTTTTAGAGCTGAAGTGACTTTTGATGCATTTGAAATAAGCTCTGCATTTAGCTCTTGGCATTGTAGCATTAAGCGCTTCTCGCTCTCGTGTGATTTTATGAGTGCTTTGTGGAGTTTCTCATACTCTGTTTTGAATTTGCCCAAACTCCCATCTCCCACCATCTCTTGCAGCACCTGCAGTTGTTTGCATGTTTATCATAATCACTTATAATGGCTCACCTCCTCAAATTCCTTTTCCAGTTCTTCAAAGGTGCTTTCTACCCGAACGTCCTTGCTCTCTCCATCGCCACTTGCAGAATCTGTATCCTTGGTAGCCTCCTCCGGAGGGGCTTTAGTCTCCTGTTCCTAAAATTTGGTTAAAATAGTGTGAGCTTGCACCTCCAAACTGCTAGCTTACCTCCATTAGTCAACCTATGTTACCATAGCAACTTTATTAGATCACGTGGCTAATAAAATTTTCTTCATCTTTTAAAACTTAAAGAAAAGGAAAATGCAAGAGCAAGGAGGAGGGAGAGTCACTAGAGAGTTAAGGGAGAAAGCTGTTGAATATTACAGCCAGCATGATGCTACTGGAGCTCTGGAAAAGTTGCTCAACAAGATGTATATTGATTCACCAGAAGACATGTATGGATACATGGTGAACTAATGAATATTCTTATATTAGTGTTTTATACTCCCTCTCTCAGTCAGAGTATTTTCATACACTTTCTAATGATCCTACAGTTTCCTCCATTGAAGCTATTGAGCTTTTGGACAGCAATGGAGACCCGTCACTCTCTCTCACTCTACACTGCATTGTAAATGGAGTCTCTAAAGTATGTATAATAATGATAATTTAGTAATAGTATAGTAATATGTGTGTTGCAATTGCTAATTTTAAACTAGAAAATAGCTACCTTTCAGTTATGATATCCGCCCACATGTGATAATTGGTTGCTATTTTTGATGGTAATATTCAATAGCAACTAACTAAAACTGCTTCATTTCAACTGGTTTGGAGCTTTTTGAAGCTACAAAAGCTGGTGAGAGAAAAGAATAATTGTTTGCTAAGCATTTAATACAATTATATAGTGTGCAGCAGATTCTTTATTACAGCTTGCTTTCTATGTTAGTCCAGTTACTCCATAGAAAGTTGTCATCCATTAAATTATCTCAGCCTTAACCATCCCATATCTTATTGACGTCATGGGGACTTTGGCCTGATTTTTTAGCAAAAATAGTTTTGATCAAAATCAGCTCAAACTTGCTACATAACATTAGAACAAGAACATGTACATGTATAATTTATGTATCAGGAAACATTATTAAAAAATTTACTCCTGGTTATTTTTTGGTGAAAATTTTGCCAAAGACCCTATAGCACAGGGACTTTTCATTTTCAGCTTAAAGTGGCTTATTGTGCTATCGGGTGGAATTCCCTTGGCATAATTACAAAAGGTGCTGACAATAGTGTGAGGCCAGAGGTTAATAATGCAAACCTGATTATTGTCCAAACACACTTGCCACATATTTTCAGCCTCCTGGAACACATTAGGGCATTGTGTATGTATTAATGTGGTTGGGAATAATGGGTGTAACTAATGAGGAGCTGCTGCCTGTAGTTTATACTGTACAGTTGATTTCATTTCCATTGGTATAATAGTGTATGTCAACTCTCTCTCTTCTTTATGATAACTAAAACACCCTCCAGTGATAAGAATGGCATTTAATATCTTCTGTCTGTCTCTGTCTGTCTCTCAACAGGCTGTGGGTACTTATGCTCATGACTTGAATTGGCCTAAAAATGATGGTGAGCTGAAATGGAGTGGAAGCAAGAGCAAACCTCCCTCGGGGACTAATCCCAAAGACACTAAAGAGACCAAAGACAAGAGTAAAGAGTCTAAAGAAGCTAAAGCACTCCCAGTTAAAGAAGAGGAGGCAGTGGTGGAGGAGGCAAAGAAGGAAGAGGTAGAAGAGAAAACTAAAGAGGCTTCTACCCCTCCTTACCTAGAGACTGTCAATAGATTAAATGGTAATAGCAATAATAATGATAATAACAATAATAATAGTAAGAGGTTCGTTCATTGTTTCATTATTGTTCTATGCAGTGATACTCTCTGAGTTAGACTTGAAATCACAAATTGAATTAAACGCTGTCATTAATCAAGGTATTGCATGCTGAAGAGGGGGGTGCTGGTGGGGAGGAGAATCAAGAGAGATAGAAAGAGAGGGAGTGTGAAATATTTAAGATATTACACACATACTTGATATTATCAATTTCATTTAGATCATGGAATCACACTTCATCCTAGCTCTAAGGCTGCCGTGTCACGTGTAGCTGCTCTCTCTCTTGCCTTCCTCTCAAACCAACCTCTCTTCTTATCTTTAAACCAATCATTTAACAAAAGCACCACATCCAGCAAAACCTTCTCTCTCCCCCTTCCTTTGTTCAATGTAGTCGCAGGTGGATTGGGAAAGCTTAGGATCCGTGGAGTGTATCTCTTGCCATCTCCTTCATCATCACTGATGACTGGGTTCAAGAACATTATGAATGTATATAAAGAGATGGGACACACTCTATCGACAAAGGGGGTGAGTTTGTGGTGTACATAATGATATTACTGGTAGCCTCATTCTCTCCCACTTTGTTTCCTATCTCTTTCCTCCTCTCCATCTCTCCCTTAATCTCCTCTCTCTCCTCCCTTTCTTTAGCCTGCTCCTGTGTCTAAGAGCGGTGCTTATTACTTTTCTTGTGATAAACCAGAGATGTTAATGGATCTGATCAAAGAAGCCAGTGCCAGTGCTGGTGTAACACTGAAGGATGAAGTCCTAGCTTATTTAGATGTTGGAGGGGAATCAATGTATGATGAGGTATAGAAAAATACTATTATAGTTAAATCAAGTTATTTTAGTCTATGTACACGTAATCAACCTGCTCAACCTCCTTTTCTGTGTTGAGAAAAGGTCAGAGCAACGAGCACCTGTGTCTTGTTCCTTTATCCTACCATCAGCAGCTGCCTTGGCTCTGTACATTATTACACACTCCATGTGCTTCTTCTCCTGCTCCTGCTTCTTATTGATTTCTTATAATAATGTTTGTACATTCGTGCTCAGACTTGTTTAGTGCATGTGTAAATCCAACGAGGGGTGAGAACCGCTAGGAATGACTTTGAGTGGTTTTGTTCCCACCAGCCCTGGAGAGAGGTCTGGTGGTGTTCCCACATTTCACTAAGTGAGAACTGTCTGTTAGTATCATAATTAAGTCACACTTTAGTACACACTTGTACTTTATACAGGATAAGAGGAAATATGAGCTATCTACTGGGCAGTGGAAGACTGGAGATGAGCTTGTTAATGTGTGTATCAGTTTAACCAGTGCCTATCCTTGGATAGGAGGATTCATTGACCCACTCCACCCTAATGTAATAATCACCCACCAAGCACACACACACAGAGCTCATTTTATATGTCAATTTGTATGTACATTCTAATCTATTAGGACATTGCTAGCTGGCAGTCATTGAAAGAGCAGCTGAATGAGCAGTGTCTCCTTATGGCTGAGAATGCATTACTAGGCCTTGCATCTGCTACAATTGTTATTCAGAAAGATACGAAAGGAGAAGAAGAGGAAGGGGAGACTGAGTCTATTGATTCTCTATCTATCATTAACTCAGGGTTCATCTCTTCCAGTCACACTAAAACACTCAGTGAGTGTTTTGATGAAGCTGATGACTTAAAAGGTAATTGTAACTATGAGTTGGACCCAACGGGACCACACTAGTAGAAAAACATTCCAGGTCCATGAATTTTGGACCATGAATAAAACCATGGTAGATGTGTTTACATGTCCATTTTGAGATTTTGTATTATCAATAATTTATCATTGTTTCTTTTCTTATGCATCGTGATATAGGTCGTGTTTCTCACATTTCACTCTCTTCTCTCCAGCCCTCCTCCTCATTCACATCTGATAGTCTCAGTTTTGATGTTGATTTGGTTAGTTTTATGGTCATACAGTACATCCTCTCTATGTGCAATATTCCCTTCATTACTCATCCAGGCTGTTGCTCTAGGCTGTAAGCTAATAAAAGTCGGAGCACCCACAGGAGTAACAGCTGCTATGTCCATTTCAAGATTGATCCAGGTACAAGGGCAGTTGGAGTCACTCAAACTCCTAGGGCCTTCATCACTATTAATGATACCTGTCGAATCATAGTGCTAATTACATAAATATTATAAGAATCAAGTATATTAGTGCATATTTTGACTCTTGGCCAATGTTATCACTTAAACTCTTATGTGTTATAATTAATTTTATGATGCATCAAATATCGAAACAGGTGCACTCTGTGTTAGTCTTTCCTCAAATAGCTCAATTGTATGTATTGTTATTATAGTAAATAGCTGGTCAATGGCTTGATTGAATTCACTGCAATTAGGATTGGTATTGCAATTTCTCTAAGCTGCCTGTAGTTTTTTTATTGCATTATTCTCTCAAGAGAGGGAGAAGTGAACTGCAAAAGAAACACCTTCTCCATAGAGTTTATCAGGCAACCCTCCCAGCCCATTTTACCACAATTCATGGTTGGGCGTATTGTGAGGTGTGAATATACTTCAGCTGCATCTCTATCACAACACGCCCACTTTGCAGAGTTGAAGAGAGGCAAAAACTGGTGAACGCTCGCTCTCTTTCAAGACTTGCTCTGCCCTCTATTCCTCTCCCAGTTATTTCCTAAAGAAGTTTGCAGGCTAGCTGATTTTGTAGCACTAGAAAGACGAGTATAAAATGCTTAAAGCTCTGCAGATTGGCGCCATTTCAAAAAGCAGCAGCAACATTGCTCCAGCTGACAGCACCCATAACTCTACAGCCCATCAAGAAGAGCCCGTTAGCTCGCACACCAGCAGGATGGAGCCAATGATGGATCAATTCTCCATGTTCACCGACTACTTTGGCCTCTTCAACATCGTATCCAGCATGCGAGATCAACACTCCATCTCCGACAACAATAACTCTAGGGAAAGGCGTGACAGCTTGGGCTCTGCTGCATCTTCTTCGGATTTCTCCATGTCTACTGGTGGTAGCGCCCCTGACTCCAGTGACGGTAGCTCTGAGTTTTATGGAGGGATGATGAATGGAGGCATTGGAAGCTATCCGTCCACCCCCACTGACTTTTTCCGAGCTATGGGTGAGTCTGATGATGCACTCCTTGCATTTGGACACCACCACTCCATTGAAACCCAACACCACCACTCCATTGAAACCCAACACCACCACCAACAGCAGCAGCAACAGCAGACTAACCGAGGAGGAGCAGGTGTAGGAGTTAATGGAGTCTCTTCTTCCACCCTTTTGGAGAGGGGGAGCTTAAGCGTGAGAGTCCCCAATAGGCCAGTGAAGCAGCAAGTGTGTGTCTTCTGCAGGAATAATGGAGAAAGCGAGAGCTTCTACACCAGCCATTGTCTCAAGGACTCTGAAGGGAAAGTGACCTGCCCAGTCCTTCGTGCGTACACTTGCCCTCTCTGCGGAGCTAATGGTGATCTCTCGCATACTATTAAGTATTGCCCTGAGAACAACCAAGCAAGCAAAGTCTCCACCGTTGCCAGTCAGATGAAGCGTGCCACTATCACCATTACACGTAAGAAATGAAACTCATCTCTACCAGCTATGCACATTGGCAGCCCTTAGCATTACTTAATTTGGTGCAGCACTTCTAAAATAGGTTTATTTGTCATGTCCCTTAAACCCTTTCCCTCTCTCTCATTATTTTTGCTATAGTAGCATATTATTTTCCTTGTCTCTCTTTAGTCATAATAATATTCTCTAATTATATTGATTAATTTGAATTCCCGACTTAAATACAGGCTTAGAATCAATTATTATCTCTCTCTCTCACTAATTATTATTATCAAAATTTATTATTGTCTCTTCAGTCTTTGTTAATAACATAATAATTCACAAATTATTATTATTTTGATGTTATTAATAGTTTAAACTACAGCTCTAAATATTCAAACAAACTGTATTATATATTATTCATTAATTATTATTATAGAATTGTTATGTCTTAAGTCTTTAAACACTTATCAATTTTCTCATGAAAAATAATTTAATTTTTGAAAAAATTGCCACCTCATTATTCAGCTTGGGCGTTGTTCGCGCATGCGCAGTACTCTTCCCGGCAGTTCCCGCCCTTGATTTTATCGCCCACTAATGACTTTAATAAGCTAGGGCCTGAGGGAGGAGGCAGCTCAAGAAGAGGAGCTGCTGAAGAGAGATAATTTATTACACAGGATATTGTTGCTTGAGAGAGTTTCCTTTTTGCAAGGATTATCGTTTTTAGCTTGCAAATGTCAACAACGGCAGCTTATAATATCAGGGGACCGCACCGTCCCCCACCGCCTCCTCCGAGACAAAAAAGTTTAGAACACCGTCCCCTACCCCAGCCTTTGGATATGCAGAGCAGCATCACAGGACCAGCTCCAGTACAGCATCCTCCTTCCATTTACCAGCAGCAACAGAATGGGGCAGTGACTGGTAGCAGCAGTGCTCCTCGTCTTCCTCCAAATGGTGGGAGCCAGGGAAAGGAGGAGGTGATAATGAAGTATATGACTGTTGATAGAAATTATGAGACTTTAAAATCTGTTGCAAGAAAAGGTAAGAGGATTGTTAGAGCAGAGAGGGAGAGCCTGTGATATATCGACATTGATAGACACAGTGGAGGAGTGGCTGCCCCTCTGACCTAGCTACCTAGGCCTAGCTTGCTTGTTCTTTGAAAGCAGCTGGTAGCAATTTTGCCATACAATACATGCTAAGTACTCTTTTCATCCTTTACATGATGCAATTATAACACAAGTGTGTGTGTGTGTGTGTGTGTGTGTGTGTGTGTGTGTGTGTGTGTGTGTGTGTGTGTGTGTGTGTGTGTGTGTGTGTGATGGCCTTACTTGGGTTTTCTATTAGTTGTTACTATAATGGTTTTCTTTCTTATATAGCTTTAATTGAGTTTGATCAAATGAGACAGAGACACGATCAGAATCTAAAGCAGGTTCGTGGGTATGGCATATCCTAGAATAACTATTGTCTTGAGAGTAACATTAATTTACTGAAATTACTGTAGCAAGTTAATAATAATAACACTGTCTGACTTAATACTGGTAATTCTCTACAGGTAGAAGAGCAGAAGAGGGCAAGGATAGAGGCACAAAGCCAGCTCAAGTCTATACAAGATGAGCTGGAAAACCTCAGAGAAAGTAAATAAACCTCATCACAAATACATGTACTGTACATGTACTCATGCATAGTCCAAAAGATTTATACAATTGATGCTTAAGATTTTTGTTGAATATTCTTATGAAAATTACCTTATTAAATGTGTTATTTTGAATGGTTAATTGTGCATGTATGTATAGAGAAAGAGATGTATTGCTATCTTTGCATAATGGTCTGTTTATAAAAGCTAAGCGAACAGACCATTTACTCACAACACATTGCCATTACATGTGTGTATGTTTATACTGGTATAGAGCTATATTGTGCTATGTTTGCTTGCAAAACAGTGAATGCTTATTTTATCACTAAGTATAGACATTGCATCCTATTTAGAATCACATACAATCTTTATAACTCCAAACTTTGTTTGGGCTTATACATGTACATCTGATGAATACATGTATGTTGATATGTTGCCTAAGTAGTGCTAGAATGGTGTGACGCATAAACACAATCACTTCAGTTGGTATTACACTTGGTACACTTTCTTAAACTTTTACGTGTACTTGATTTTGTAACTCTGATAAAATAACATTATGATTTTCTGTGACAAATTTTTGAATTGCACTGTCATGTTGTATGGACCTATCCAATAAGTAATTAGCCTATTCATGATGTGTGTTTACTAGTGCTAGTGATGTTATTATTGATTGTGCGATTAAAGCATCAGTAATAACTGTGTACATTTGTGGAGTATAATGATTGTTTTTGCTATAATTATTTCCGTATAGCTTCTGCCAAAGCTTTTGATCAATATGGTAAACTGACCCAGGACCTTGAAGAACAAACGGAAATGAGAGAAAGAGCAGAAACAATGGCAATGGAGGTAAAGAACTCTTTGTTTATCCTTACTCATTTACTGCATGTCTCTTTTTAGATGTCTCAAGAGAACAAGATCCTAAAGAGAGCTACCTCATCTCTTAGCAATGCTACTAGTACGAGTGGTGAAGATCACAAGAAGCTGCTAGCGGTGAGTGATACAAAACATGAATGACATGGAATCTTGATAATCTGAAAACATATTTCATCTTACAGCAACTCAATGAATTGACAACAGAAAACTCCAAACTATTTACAGAGAAGGAAGGTATGTCATTCAAGTTTCCTGAATGATAATTTTATTTGGCTAATAACTTTAAAGAATAGCTATTGCTTCTAATGTATTGTATGTCTTTAATTATGAATTTATAATTAGTAATCACTTTCGGTATTCATGCATACATTGAAGGAAATGGGAATAATATAGTCTATTATGACTTTACACTTATTTTATTTATAGATCTTGATCAAGCACTGAATGAAGTGAAGAAAGAACTGCTTGTCCTCCAGGAACGAGTTCAGAAAAGTGAAAAGAAGTTACAGGTCACTCAGTCTGAACTTGAAGCTAGTAAAGCATCGCTGACACAAACAACAGAGAAAGTATGTCTATGTAAAGTAAACACTATACAAATGTTTGTACAGTATGTAGTAATGATTGGTACTTGTAAGTACATGTGTACATGTACATGTGTACATGTACAATGTACATGTATATGCACATTATGGCTTCTGAATTCTTAATATTTATGCTACAGCTGTTGTTCCTATTATTATTTTATTTCAGTGTACTAGACTAGAAGAGGAGCTAATGGTGAGACCTACTGCAGCACAACTGGCCGAATTTGAGCAGTTAAAAACAAGTAATGGATTGACATATGTTCACATTGAGTAGATTGTGTCTGTGTACATGTAGCAGCTGCTGCTACTAATTTGAATTATGATGTATTTTGTGCTAATAGTGTCTCAGCTAACAATTGATCAAATGAAGGGCTTGAGCATAGAACTGGAGGAAGAGAAGGCAGCAAGAGCAGAAGCTGAAAGCAAAGCTAATAAAGTAATGGAGAGAAATAGTCACTTAGTTTTACTGATCAGCTACTTTTGCTCTATACTTTATTTCTTTTCTCTCTCTCTCTCTCTCTTTCTCTCCTTTCGTGTAGTTACAAACTAGTCTTAAGACATTGCAAAGGCAAAGTACAGCATTAATGTCAGCAGCTGCTGATGATGATAAATTAACAAATGCTCTGTTGGAAATTGAAACACTTCAAAAGAAACTAAGCGATTCTGAGCAAAATAGTCAAGTGAAAGTATGTACATACATGTACATGTGTTAGTAGCTGAGTGTACCTTATTTTGTTTATTTGTGTTAATATAGATTAAAGAGTTAGAGGAGCAGATTGCTTTACTTCAGGAATCATCTCTAGCAGAAGAGAACCAACGTTAGTTGACATGATATTATTATGCATCACATTATGCATCATTTAGTTAATGACATATTGCATCACACAGCTAGTATAAAATTGATCTTGTTCTATTGTTTCTATAGAACTTGACGAGAGATTGAGATTATTAACAAGCCAATTGGATACCGAAGGACAAAGGGCAGCCACTGCTGAGGCAGAAGGTGAGGAAGAAAGAAAGAGACAGAGTGACTGTGACTAAGTATAATAGAAGCCAAAGCTGGCATCTTTATCCTGAGTATAATAGCTCCATATTTGTAAATAATACCTTACAATGATATTGATAGTAATGGGGGACACCACATGTCGATTATCATTTTATTGGTTGCGTGTGAACTCTTTCATGCATGTATATGTACATGTATTGACCTGTAGCTTTCTCCTTGGCTTAGTCTTTAGGCTATTAGCAGCTTCAGGGTTTCCCAAAAAGCTTGCTAAGCAAGCTAAAAGCATACTTCATGAGCTGACAAGCACTACAATAGTACATGTACATGGCTTTGGGACAAATTTAGGAATTCATAAAACATTCAATTTTGATCAAACTTGCTACACAATCAAGAACATGTATATGTATCGGCAAAAAATTATAAAAATGAAGAATTCTCTCGTAGTCATTTTTGGTAAAATTTGGGAATTTAATTGGTACATGTACATCATGATTAAAATTGGTACAAGGACTTTGGCTTGATTTTTGAGTAACTTGTGAAAATTGTAAAAAAAATCTAATTTTTATCAGAATCAGCTCAAAATTTTCATACAGCACAAGAACATGCATGTGTATTAGATAATTATAAAAATGAAAAATTCTCTCCAGCAATTTTTGAAAAAATACCCTGTATAGTAGTAGTACTATGGTATTTTGTCAACAACTTTAAAATTCACTGACAAGAGTCTGCATGCTGCTTAGCATAAACATTTAAGCAAAAGTAATAGCATTAATCTTTTGCTATTGAATATAATGCACTGAGATTTTATAAAGTACAATAAGATATTATCTAAATAGTGTTGTGTAACATTAACCCACAAACTACATGTACTCTTATCCAGTTGAACTCCTCCTGTCTCTCTGTCTCTTTATGTTTACACTCCATCACTCATTCTCTCTGTCTCTCTATTAGTTGAGGAGTTGAAGGCACAAGTGTCTCAATTAAAGGAAGCAGCTTCATCATTACCTTCTGGTGGATCAGGTCCTCCTCCTCCTCCTCCTCCCCCTCCCCCTCCTCCACCAGGTACTAATAGTTGTAGTTATCAGTTTGTTTATGAGAGTGTGCTTGTACGTACTAAGTAAATAGAAACTGTTTTTATTCTAAAATGAAAAATAACTGCATTAAGTTGTTTATAGCTAGATGTACATTGCACATTAACAACTATCATATAGACTCTGCCATTTGTACATGTACTGTACGTGTGTGTACTTCTCAAAACGTGGAGCAACAAACATAAAAAACTATTTATCATGTAGATCTGCCAAAAATTTTTGTGACAAAAATTTTGTGAACAATGAATACTGTGATTCTGCCAACCCCCAACCCTTTTTTGCTTAATATGTGGCAGTTAAAATTCTATTGAGTAATAATCATAAAATTACTGAATACAAAAATACAATATTTGATGTATTTCAGCTACTTATTTTATGGGTCACTTTGTGGTTTTAATTTTCATGGTTGACAACTTACATAGCCTCTAAAGCTAGGGTATGGCACTTAATGATTTTGTGGGTTTAAATTTGATGGTAATTAAGCTTCAAAACCACAAAAATAAAGCACCACAAAAATAACCTGCCATACAGTATTATTTTTTGTTTATTGTTATGAAATTGAAAGTTAATTGTTTGTTTATGTGAAAGCAAGACAAGTCAGCTCATTCCTAACAACACAATTTATTTTTTTAGGAAGTGGAGCTCCTCCCCCTCCACCACCTCCCCCTCTACCTCCAGGAGGTAAGGACCCTATAATTATTATAAGTATTATAGTTATTAATAATTATTAGTAGCAGCTGGAGCCCCTCCCCCTCCTCCCCCTCCTCCTCCTCCTCCTCCTGGTGGAGCAGGAAGTAAGTGATTATGTGATCTCTAGTGTGATTCTCTGTTCTATTTTTAGTACCACCGCCCCCACCTCCTCCCCCTCCCCCACCTGGTAATTCATTAATTATAATAAGTATTGTCATTCATGATGTTCATTATTAGGTGGATCAGGAGCTGCTCCTCCTCCTTTACCATCTCTCGGAGCATCACTGGCCAGTGTACAGTAAGGATCTTTTATCATGATCATACATGACCCTTGAAATCTGCTATTATGTAATGTACAGGTTTCCCACAATACATGCTAACTATATAAACGACATAAGTTAGCATAAGCACTGCAATATGGTACATGGCTTTTGGAATATTTTTTAAAATCCAATTTTGATCGGCTCACCTCAAACTTTCTACACAATGTCTTCTAGATACAGATGTATCTGATCTAAAAAAATTATTAAAATGAAAATTTTTCTCCTATTCATTTTTGGTGAAATATCTTTTAAAACTATATTGTCTATGTATACATGTAGTACAGGGTTCTTTGCTAAATTTTGGAGCAATTTTAAAAATCAATGTTGAGGAATAGTCTTAAACTTTTAAAATTAAAAATAATTTTAAAATAAAAAATTTGAATTTTCTATTAATTTTTTGTGAAATACAATGAATCATACTATAGAAATTTCCAGACTGAGCATGATACTAAATCTTGTAGGAAATCCAAAGTACATGTACATGTAGCTGGTAATTTTGGAAGAGTAAATTTTGCTGAATTTGGTGAGCCATTACCAAAGTAGAAACCACCATTATAAACCACTATGTGCATTCTCAATGGTACATGACCAAATCAATCAACATATCAGAAATGCCAACTACAGTACCCACTGAACTGAAATGTACCTTAAGATCACTATTATTTGTGAGTACTAATTTTTGCGTTTTTTGCGAGTGGCTTTAAAATCACAAAAATTAGTACTTGCATTTATTAATAATTAAGGTTTATTAACAGTTAATTGGGAAAAAAAGAGCAAAATCGCGAAAAAATTAATACACGCTAAATCAGTACCATTAACAAATTACAAAAAATTGTCTACTTAAAAATAAGTGGCTTCTTTAAAATAAGGTAACACCTTATTATTTTTAGAAATTTATACACGTACTTTTTAAAAATGTTTTTCCTGGCTTATGGCATTAATAATATAAATCATAAAATATTAGCATCACAGGATTCAGCTCCTTTCCAGTACATTTTTTAATTTTTTGCATGTTATTGGTGTTGCATAGAAATTTTGAGCTGATTCTAACCAAGATTAATTTTTTTGAATTTTTATACTTGTACTATATTGTGTACTATGAAATTTATGTGGTATATAGTAGTACAGGACTTGGGCAAACTGTTTCAAAAATTGAAAAGGAAAAAATATACTTTTTTTGATGCATAATACATGTACTGACATGTATGTTGTGTAGAAAGTTTCAGCTGATTCCGACCAAATTTGGATTTTTATAAATTTTAGAAGTCACTTAAAAATTGGGCCGAAGTCCTTGTTTGGTCAAATTTTGCCAAAATTAAAAAGGAGAGAATTTTTATTTTTAAATTTTCTCTGATACATACACCTATGTTGTGTAGAAAGTTTGAGCTGATTCTGATCAAAATTGAACTTTTTATGAAATTAAAGTTGCTCCAGAAGCCATACTTGTCAGCTCATTGAGCATGCTGCTTATTCAAACATAACTAAAAAATAATAATCTAAGTCCAATATGTGGTCAAGCAACTTGTTGCCAAAAACTAGGACTCTCTACTTGAGGCAACAGCTCACATCAAAGGTCTGACCACAAGTTGTCTTGTGCCAGTGGCGTATCCAGGGGGGCTAACGGGGCTTGAGCACCCCCCTCATGGCTGGGCTCAGAAAAAAACACTCAAGTCCTGGACTCTTGCACCACTACCAAGCCTCTTAATAAAATTATCTAGCCCCCTGATCATGATTTCAGCAGTTCCCAGTGCTTTAAAAAGCAATGAGAAGTACCAGTATGCTTGAAATTATCTAGACCCCACCCATAATTCACGAAAATGAAGGAAATTGCCATTTTACTGCCGTAAAAAGGGGTTGTGGCCAAAATTGTGGTGTGCTTTCAATGCCCTCAGCATCCCCCTTTACAAATTTCTAGATATGCCCCTGCCTATATTGTAGGCAGGGGTGTACAAACACATACATATACTGTACTATACTGTAAGTATATGTACCTGTTCACTATGTTGGGCTTCAGACTATTGATCTGTATCAGAACAATGAGAATTCTTCATTCATTTTTGATCACAAATATTATTGACTCAAATATTTTGTCATAAATTTTTGTTCTGTTTCTCTCAGGTTAAAAAAAGCTTCTGTAGATGAAAAATCGCCAGAAGAATCATGTAAGTATACAAAACTATAATTATAATAATTATTAATTAATTCTAAGTGCACTGTACTTGCATCACAAGAAGTAATATAAATAGAGAGAGATTTTTCCTAGCCATTTTCAATCAAATACTGTGTACTACATTTAAAATAGTTTCTTACAAAATTTTGAAGCAACTTTTAGAACTCTTAAATAATCCAAATTTGATCAAAATCAGTTCAAATGTTCTTAAATTTTGTGTATCAAAATTTTTTCTGAGCCATTTTAGATGAAAGCAGTCAATATTGTTGTTTTGAAATTCTTTAATATTTAATAATCCATAATGCTTGTACTACTTAGTACTTCTTCACTTGTGCATAGCATGTGTGCTAACAGATGTTTACTTGTATTGCTACAAATTACTTTGTGTACTGATACAAGAGTGTGTGTAACTTCTCTCTTTCTACTTTGACTATGATTCCTTTGTTCTTTTCTCTTCTATAGCTGGTGGTGATCCAATGGCTAATGTAATGGCATCCATACGTAGTGGACAGGTCAAACTGAGAAAAGCTAAAGTAGAAGAAAAGAAACCTTTAGGTAAAAGTGCCTGTTAGCATAATTCTTGCTATTATTATTATTATTCTACAGCTCCTGCTGATCCGATGGCTAGTATGATTGCATCAATAAGAAGTGGTAATGTC